TTTTATTGACCAACACTCGGGCTCCTACTGACTGCGGGTAAACAGAGGTGTGTGAGTGTGGAGTAAGGAAACTTGCCCAACGTTTCGCTCTGCCCGGGAATCGAACCCGGGTCCTCTCGCTTGCGAGGCGAGCGCTCTAACCACTGATCTACTCTAACCACAGGACCGGCCGCCTCATGCCTTTAGCTCATTCCCAAACTGAACCATTAGAGGCAGTTTGAGCTCTGCCTTATTGTGGAGGACTAAATTGGGAAACAGATGCTCGTTGACTGAACGGTGTCTCTCTCGCTCTCTATCTCTCTCTATCTCTCTCTCTCTATCTCTCTCTCTCTCTCTCGGTTCCCTTCTTCATCCACATGCCATCATTCGATCGGCACCTGTTTCCTCCGCCACATTCTGTTTGCAGTTGGTGTCATGTGGTCCGAGTTCTTTGGCAAAACAGTTTTGCACCGAGCAATCTAAACATCAGAGCTCACACCATCACTGGGATAGTTGGCTCAGTGTATGAATTCCACTGACTGACTGACTGTCCGACTGCCTATCAGATATCTTCACGGCCCCCAACTTCCACCCACTCTTACTTCGCTTGTGAGACAGTTTTTTTTGTCTTAAAATTTAAGATTTCCAATTTTTTTTTTAAAAAAAGGAAGCGGATTTTTTTACAACACTGAAACGAAAAGGGAAACGGCTTCCAACAACAACAACGACAACAACAAGATTACATTTGTAAAGCGCCTTTCACGTCGGGAGGACGTCCCAAGGCGCTGGACAGACAGAGTTACGGAGCCGAGCTGGGGGTCGGGGTGGGGGAGGGCAGGGGAAGAAGGAGGGAAATCGAAAGCACGGTCGAAGAGGAGGGTCTTGAGGTGGGTCTTGAAGGTGGCGAGTGAGGGGGCGAGACGGAGGGACTGCGGGATGGAGTTCCAGAGGGTGGGGGCAGAGTGGCAAAGAGTTTTTCTGTAAATCGTGGTAGTCACTGTGCGTTCTGTAGGCGAACCAGGTGGAATTTCGGGACTCTACATTAAGTAGGACTGTTAAATACATCAAGTTAGATGGGCTGCTCATGGCAACCTTACCTTTACCATTTTCATTTCAAATGGTTGCTATTAAAGCACAGCAAAGGCTATGCTCCTACAGTGGACATGCTGATTATCACTGGTGACCTTGCGATATTCAGACCATGACCTTGGGATATGCTGACTATGGCCGGTGATATCACCACTGAAGTTATCTGTATTTGGGTGTTGTTTTGTATCTCTGAAGAATCAGGTTGTAGGGCCACGTCTCTCAGTATCACCGTCCAAGTCTCTTCTCTGTATTACTGTGGGGCTATGTACCTTTGATGCAGAAACACCACTCATCCTTGTGGTGTGAATTCACTGCAGCTGATGCTTATCTGTTGTGGAAGTTACATTGATAACACTTTGACATTAGGAAGAAGTTGCTTATTGAGGCACAATTTGACGTTGGTGAGTTTTTGATTGTGTAAGTTTTTGTCGCTTTATGATTTTAGATTCTGGGTCACTTGTTCCAACCGTGGAAAGGACCTGAGGCTCCAAGTTCAACCTAGTCTTAGCCTGTGAGGCCATTTTGGCATTTTGTCGTAGGCTAAGACGAGGTGGAATTTCGGTCCTAGGAAGGGGCAAGGAGGCGGGAATCAGGGATTAGGATCGAATATCATTCTTGCGTTGAATGGGAGATGCTATATCTTGGCCTGGAGCCCGTGGGAAGCTCTGAACAGCTTTTACAGAGGCTTGAGTCTAGACGACAGGAAGTGAAGACTGGTGGGTGAGCCCTATCTTGCTGGTTACAGCGGATGTGTAGCAGGTAGGGAAAAGGGCATTAGTCTCACTGATCTTTTCTGTTCCCAAACCCCGTTTTATTATAGATCCGCCACAATCCACGCCATTCCTCATTGAAAGTTTCTAACCTTCCCATGTAGAAAAGTACCACAGAAATCAACAGCACCGTGAGAGGCCACTCGACCCACTGGACTACCCCCCATCCCTCCTGACCCCAACCCCCCCAGCTTGGGTCCAAATCCCTGATCATCCAGCGCCTTGGGACGTCCTCCCGACATGAAAGGCTTGACGTGTAAATGTCATTTGTTGTTGTTGTTGAAAGATCTGTCAAACGCTCAGAATAACTTTTTTTTAATCAACTTGCAATCAAATACCTTATTGGTGGACGTCAGCTCTTCACTGGCCTTGTTGAAACAGTGACCCAATATTTTCACTGAACAGCCAAACCCACATCCTTTCTGTTCTAATACGCACAAGATCGCAAGAGCGGTTCAGACGAAGAAGGCCCTTCGGGCCATTTGATTCGTATTGCATCCAGAATATGTACCTTATTTACCGTCTTCCCATTGCAGCACAAGCTGTTTCTGAAATGAGTCCAGTGGCCTGGCCTTTACCGCCTTTTCTGGTTAAGTCTATTCTGATTGTTGAGCGCTCTGGGCTGCTGCCCTGGGTGAGGGACGCTATATAAATACAAGTTGTGCTCGTTCTTGTTGCTCTGGAATTAGGTAAGTGGGATGTATCCCTCCAGTGTTCATTCGGTTTCCAGGGACACGTAAATTTCCAGGCTTAACTGGCGAGCATCAGTGGAGCTCACAGACGGGCTCGGATTCTCTTAAGCGCAGTGTCAGACACCGGCTAACAGAAGACTATACTCCCCTCTCCAACTTGTAGTCAGTAAACAATCTCGCTCTCTCTTTCAAATCAAGGTCTTCGCTTTGTTTAAACAAAATATAACACTTCACTGTATGTGTGCTGACTGATAAAAATCTTCCTTTTATCCGGGGTGGAGATAGCTTTTATGACACCAGGTTGACTGGAACAATTGCTATCGTGGAGAGCCAAACGCCTCTTGTTTAAATTACAATTAAGAGCAGTTTGTACGTTGCCTTCACTGAACAGGTGGTTTGTTGATCAAACCTCTAAAGAGCTCACCTCAAAGTTCACTCAACCCGGTCTTTACATACAATTTCTCACACAGAGAGCGAGGCGTGTTTGGGCCTGTGGAAGGGGAAGGTCAGTCAAGTTTACGGGTCGAAGCAAAATCCATAGTCACTTTTGAAAGGGGAATCGAACAAATATTTGGGAAAAGTAAAATAAAGGCGCAAGTGAAAGGAACTCTCTTAGAGAGATGGCTGAGGCGTGGTGGGCAGGGAAGCCTTCTTCCGCGCTGTAAAGTTTTATGGTTCTGCCCCTCTGTAAAATTCTGTATCCTGGTTTTTTTTTTGGAGCTGAGCTCGTCAGCTATTTTGTGCGCAGCAAAGTCCCGGCGGCAACGGACATGAGGTGAAAGAACACTTCATCTGTGGGATTATAACGTAATAATAATAATCCTTACATTTGATGCACCGCCTGATCACGTCTTTGAGACGTCTCAAAGCGCTTCACAGGATACACTGCCAAGCGAATCGACTGCATATTTCGTGGGCGGAACGCGGCAGCCAATTGCGCGCAGCAGCGTCCCCCACAAACAGCCGTGGGTTGAGTGACCACATTTTTTTTCAAGGGATTATTACCCCTGGAAAGCGATCCACCAATTGACTACCTACTTACTGTGGGGTAAACAGAGGTCTGCGGAGTGAGGAAGCCGACCTAAGATTTCGTCCTACCCTGGGAATCAAACCGTGGTCCTCTCGCTTGCGAGGCGAGCGCGCTCAACCCCAATGCTACGGGACTCTGCGTGACTCTCAACGTCACGTAGTGGTGTGCGCGACGGAGGGGTGTACGGACGGCTCATGGGGGGGATGGGGTGGGGGGCAACACAGATGGACAGAGTGGAACATGGAAGTGGAGAGTGCACGAGATGAGTGTGCACAGGTGCATTTGCTGCAACGACGTGTTACATCAAAATGGTCGACGTGTCTCATTCTTGCAATGAGTTACTTTGAAGTGTAGTGACCTTTGTTATACCCCTCTCTCTCTCTCTCCCTCTCCCTCTCTGTCGCGGCTTCCAAACATCTTCCCACCTGACTGCCTTTGCGTCCCGCGGTAAAACCCTCCCAAACTCTTAGCGTGAGCCGAGAGCTGTGAGGGAGGGTCCGCGCGGGTTGAGCGGCGCTGCGTAAGCCGTGAAAAACAAGTCAGCGTTCAGTGTTTCTGGGGCCAAATGTATGTGCGATTGTCTTCTGTCTGCCGCCCCCTCGTGGCAACGCGTCACAAAACACCACCGAGTAATCCGTCCCGAGGTGCCGTGCAGCGAGCGGGACACGGTGGCCATGGGGTCCACAGACGGAAAACCCTGCGGGGGATTCTGCCGTGAGCACCACGGGGCCTCCGGACCATGGAGCGCTTGGGGAGCCGATGACCCTCCGGCTCGTTAGATCTCCTCGATCCTTGCAGAATTCCAAGCCTTCCCTCCTCCCGCCACAGTTGCTTCTTACTGTGTCAGCGGAAACCTGATGCGTCCGCGAGGGTGAAGGGAATAGCGGAGGGTACAGGCGAGGGGAGTAGGAGGGGTGGAGGCTCGGGTGTGGAGTATAAACACCGGCACAGACCAGTTGGGACCAAACTTCCTGTAACGCTCTGTGGAATTCTACGTAACTGAGTCCCAGTGTCCTGGCCTTACCCCCATCCCTGCAAACTCACTCCAGTTGTTGGTTCCCTCTCTGTGGCAATGTGTGCAAAAACTCTGACACTCAGGTGATGTGTTAGCAGGTGAGACTCCAGTAGTTACCCCAACGCACACTCTAGGCTCCCCCCACCCCCAGCCTTGGCTCTCGCCAACCTGCGCCAAACACAGTCTGCAATTAGGTGTACAGGAAATGTCCCTCCAGGGAGAGAGAGAGAGAGAGAGAGCGCATTCCATTCCAACAATCTATCTCTGGGATTTCCATGTGTGTGTGGGATGTGAGGAATTCTCAGTTGGTTTCGAGACTCTTAAGCAACGGTGATGGGTTTCCACGTATGTCAGACGCCCGGCTGACCAAAAAAAAACAGGTAACGAAAGCCACCAACAATTATTTTATCATTTAAATTATTATCACGTTAATGTTTCAATGCAAGGTTTATATTTCTTTATGTAGGGGCAATGAGCAATCTGCCTCCGTTGTCAAACATTTTTTATTCCCCTTCTCCCCTCACCCCTTGACTTCGCCCCTCCACCCCGCTGCCTCATTGGTGAGGTAACGCAATGCTTTGGTGAAATTTCCTGAGTGCTTTCTGAACGCAGAGAGGTTCCTATTTGTTGCTCCGTTTCCCCACGTCCATTTTGGACTTGATGATTATTGCCTTGCGGAGTGCAGGATCCTCCTCTGGTTGTGGAGATGCTTGCTGTGTCTTTGAGGAGTTTCTTATCATCTTCGTTTGCTAATTCAAATCGTTCGGGTGAAATATATATAAAACAAGAGGATCAGAGACGTGGGAGCTCTATTCTCTCAACGTCACCGAGTTTCATTCGGTTAATTCCCTCACGTACAAATTCCTCCACGCCCTTAGCGTTGTGTTTACACGTCGCCTTTCATACCGGAAAAAGATCTCAATGTCCTTTCCAAAATTCAATTGATTATTATATAATAAAAATCATATTAATCCTTACATTTAATATTGCGCCTTATCACGTTGTTACGAAATGAGGCGGATGTTCTTATATGGATAGATTGGGGGTATTGGGAGCAATGGAGAGCAGCAGAGAAACGGGATTGGAAGATGGTCTGTGGCGTAATACTGATGGAACAGACTCAGTGGCTGAATGGCCTCTCTTCCTGTTCTTGTGTTCCTCATTGATTGTCTGAGGTATATCCTGAGATCACCACTGGGGGGCGATGTCGCACCATTTAGAAACCCTACGACTCCTCATTGGGAGGGACGGCCTCAAAGGCCACACCATTGACAGTGAAGGTCTGGAGGACGTCCTCCAGCGTCACCTGCACCTGTACTGCATGGTGGTGGGTGGGTTTGGGGGGGGGGGGATTGGCAATGAGTCGCTCTCCTGCGTGAAGGGCATTATGTAAGTTGTTGTCGCTGAAGACCGAAAGTGCGATCTGAAATGCCATGTGCTGAGCCAGCAAAGGTCCCAACCCCGGCGAACCCCAGCCCAACCTGTCCGCTCCCTCCACTCAGCGGACTCTGGCCGGTCCCGTGTCCCCCGCCCCTTCCCATCAACCATCAGCGGGCGGGACTTCAGTCTTTCTGCCCACCCTTTGGAACTCCATCCTTTGCCTCTCCCCCTCCCTCGCCTCCTTCGAGGCCCGTCTCGAGACTCTCCCCTTCGACTGCGCCTTTGGTCACCCTCCTACCCCCACCCCTCCTGATCTCAACCACCAGCTCGGGTCGAAATCCTTGACGTCTTCCCGATGTGAAAGGCGCCGTGTAATGTAAATGCCATTTGTTGTTGGTGCTCTGGTACCCAGCCCAGCGCAGTATTGGGGGTGGCGGAGGTGGGGGAGGGGTGTATAATCTGCCTGTACGCCCACTCCCCCGAGTCAGGTAAAGCTCGTACTGTAGAGGAGATGGTGGCCTCCAGCAGCTGTTTCCGTTCCTCCCCCAGGACCTCCTCTTGACGGATGTGCTCGAGTTCCTCGCACTGTTGCTGCAGGTTCTCTGCCAGGAAATCAGAGGGAACGCGGGATTAACGGGGCCAGTGACTGTATCGGGGAAGGGGCGGGTGGTGGGGAGAGAGGGAGAGAGGTGGGGGTGTCATATTCAGGCTGGTGGGATCCCACTCTGGAAGCTAATTACCTGGCATTGGGGTCTTAGGCTCCCTGTTATGGACCCTGTTTAGACCCTCAGTTAACATTTAAGGCTCCTGAAACCAGCGGGTGTGGGGAGGTGGTGGGGGCTCAGAGAGAGGAGAGCGTCTCATCGAATCCATCCATTCAGGTCGTGCAATTCCAGAACCGTAACAACTCTCTGGGTAAAAAGATTTCTCCTCGTCAGGTCTCCCCTGCGGTTCTTTCTCCGGACGCAGATGGGGTCGGAGTAGATTTTCCTTGTGTTTTCTATTAAGGAATCCCGTTAAGAAATACCGCTGTGACCGCTGTGACCTAGTCAGACGAAGTCGGACCCTACGTGTGTGCGTGCGTGCGTGTGTGTGCGTGTGGGTGTGTGCGTGCGTGTGAGTGCGTGAGTGTGTGTGCAAGTGTGTGAGTGTGGGTGAGCTGTGCCCTCAGTGGGAGATACAATACCCAGCATGTTGTCTGCTGCATCATCAATAAGGGGTATGAAGGCTTTGTAGGCCATCTCTGGTGGGATCCCTGGAGAGAGGGAGAGGGAGAGAGAATCAATATTCACTTTTATAATGATTGTGCGTCAGCCCGGCTCAGTCAGGCGTCCTCTGCGCTTCTGAGTCAGAAGGTCGTTGTTTCAAGCCTCACATGGGGCAGGACGTGGAAGCACATAGTCTAAGCTGCCCCCTCCAGCGCAGTGATGGGGGCGCTCTGCAATATCAGAGATGCCGGCCTTCAGATGAGACGTTAACCTGAGGTCCCTGTCTGTGCCTTGTTCTGGAAGTTAAATATCCCACGAGCGCCATTGGTATCATGGGGCGAGAGCCCCAGAGACCAGAGAGCTTCTTTACTTGTTTACTTACGTTGGATCCTGCAGGCGTAACAATTTTCTCTTAGTTCAAAAATATTGCCGATGTTTTCATACTGATCTTTGAGGAGGAAAAGCAGTTTGAGGTTTCCCCACTCGTTGCACAGGTCGACTGTGTCTGAGGAGAGACGGAGAGAGAGAGAGAGAGAGAGAGAGAGAGAGAATAGCTGGTAGTCAATCTTCAAATCGTTGGTTTGTTTGTGGAGTCAGATTTAGTTGTCAGCCTGACTCAGATAACAGCACTTTTGCCACCGAGTCAGAAGGTTGTGAGTTCAAGCCCCACATTGTGAGTTTATCATGTCTTCAGGACGTCTCAAAGCGCTTCACAGGAGTGTAAAGTGCAGTGACTGTGTATTTTTGTGGGTGAAACGTGGCAGCCAAGTGGCGCAGCAATGTCTGTCCCACAAGCAGCCATGGAATGAGCGACTAATTTTATTTGGGGGGATGGTTGGCCAGGACACCGGGACAGAGAGAGAGAGAGAGAGAGAGAGAGAAACTCGCTTCTCTTTTCCAACAGCCCCGCGGGATCTTTAACATCCACCTGAACCGGCGCAGACAGGGAGTGAGGTTTAATGCGCTCAGCTGTGAATTTCAGGTATTTCACAGACAATTATTCCCGACGGAAAAGTCCTCTGCGCTCCCTCTCCGTACCCCTCCCCCCCCCATCCCCCACCCCACAGGCCAACCTCACCCGTTACCTGGAGGTTTGATTCCCAACTGGTCCTTCAGGTAATTCATGAATACGAGCAGACCACAGTTGGGGTTAGCAAGAAAATACTTGTGCTCTGTAATTACAAGAGAATCCACACTGACTTCACAGTCACAGGAACGGTGAATTCGTAATAATAACAATAATATTCCTTACATTTGAATACAGCGCCTGATAACGTCATTGAGGTGTCTCAAAGCTCTTCACAGAATATACTATCAAGTGGATTGACTGTTTATTTTGTGGGCAAAACCCGACAGCCAATTGCACCCAGTGGTTAGTTAATTAATGAATGAAGTAAGAAGCTTCAGCTCACAAATTACTTTGCTACTTTGACTGCACTTTTGGTCATCTTTCATCTCAGGAGGACGTCTCGAAGCACTTCACACAGTTGAAAAGAGACGAACGAACGAACGAACGAACAAACAAACAAACAAACAAAGGAGGAAATACAAATGTGCCGAATTGTGGTTAACAAATGAAGGAAAGGCGTCCAGGAGATAAGTGAGGCATTTATGTTGGGAAGAGAGTGAGAGGGACACACACACACACACACACAGAGGTAAAGAGGGGGAGAGAGACACACACACACACTATTTTCATATCCACAATGGCGCTGGTCGCAGGCAGTGGGCAGGTCGGTGAGTTCTCTCGCGTAGATTTTGTTTTAAACCCACGTAACGTTTGGAAGCGCTTGTTCTGAGGCCGTGACCTTCGATGACCGTTCAGCCGGTGGAGAGGTTTGGTCGGGTTTGGCTGTTGGCGTTTTGGCTGCAGTGACTGATGTCCCCGGACCCCGCGAGGTGAGGTGAGCTCACCTCCGTACCAGACATAGATGAACATGTTGTGGCGGCAGGTTTTGCCTCTGTGCCGGACTTTTCTCTCCTTGGCGGCTCTCAGGGGCTCAGGCCTCCTGTTTCGAGCCGCCATCACGACGTTTGTGACCTCAACGGCTTCGTGAGGTCATCGGTGTCGCAGACAACAATCACCTTCGGGGGCGGTTAAGCTCAGAGTAAACGCGCACCCGGGCGTTCTACACACGCCCGCGCGCCCGCGCACGCACGGACACGCCACTCGCATACCCACCACACACGAGCGCGCGCCAAGCACACGCGCACCGGCTGCCCTGTTACACCCACAAACAAAACACACGCAGTCACTCCACTTTACAGTGTATCCTGTGAAGTGCTTTGAGACGTCTCCAAGACGTGATGAGGCGCCGGGTCGAGCGCGAGGAGTATTATCGTTATTATATTGTTATTTACAGTCGTCCTCCCTGGTTCCTTGCGCCAGCGGGCGAGGGGGGAGGGGGGGGGGGGGGGGGGGCGCGGAGCGAGGGGGGGTTTTCCCCCTTCGGGAAGAATTCAGGGAAAACATGGAGCTGGAGCCGACGGTTCTGGGATCAGATGACAAAACATTCCAGCAATAGGGTGGGACCCGGCGGCCGAACGGGAAGCAAAGTCCAGTGATTTTTTTTGCACTCTCTTTCTTTCTCTCTCCTTCGAACACACGGAAGGAAAACCCAATCCTCTCTCTCTCTCTCTCTTCTCCCTCCCTCTCTCTCTCTCTCTCTCTCGCGCGCGCGCGGCGCACGCTCTCTCGCTCTCTGTGGAAAGCGTAACGGAACCTCGATCGGGAACGCAGGAGAATAGGGAACTTGAGAACTAGAGAGAGAGGGAGTGAGAGAGAGAGAGAGAGAGAGCGATGTGTAACAGCGAGATGGGAGGAGCTCCTCTCTCAAACACCACCAGCCGGTAAAGCAGAGAGAGAGTCCAACGATATTTTTGTTCTCTTTCTCTCTCTCTCTCTCTCCCTTTCGAACACCGCAAGAGGAAAACCACAATCCTCTCTCTCTCTCTCTCGCTCGCTCTCTCTCTCTCTCTTTTTCCCTCTTCTCCATGGACGCTGCTTGACCTGCTGTGTGTTTCCAGCGCCGTCTGTGTTTGCAGCAGAGCAGAGAGAGGCCGGGTTTGGTTCAGGGGGTCGGGAATGGTTGGCGAGCGCTCAGCGGGAGGACAGAGCTTCCTGCAGCTGTGTGTCCTCATCTGGTTGTTGACCGCACAATCCGCAGAGATCAACACACGGCCCGACTGTGAGTAACCGCTTCGCGCTTCCCTTTCTGACGGGGGATTTTTTCTCGTCGTTGGGGGAAAAAAATTTGGTTCTTCTTTTTTTTTTGCTGCTTTTCTTCTCTCTCTCCCTCTCTTTCTCGCTCTGTTTCTCTCTCTCACTCTCTTTCTCATTAGCTCTCTGTTTCTCACAGTCTCACTCTCTTTCTCTCTCTGTCTCTCTCTCACTCGCACTGTCTCAACAACAACAAAATTACATTTATAGAGCGCCTTTCACGTCGGGAGGACGTCTCACTCTCTCTCTCTCACTCTCGCTCTCTCGCTCTCGCTCACTCTCACTCTCGCTCACTCTCGCTCGCTCACTCTCGCTCACTCTCTCTCGCTCTCTCTCGCTGTCACTCTCGCTCTCTCTCACTCTCTCTCGCTCTCTCTCTCGCTCTCTCACTCTCTCTCGCTCTCTCTCTCTCACTCTCACTCTCTCTCGCTCGCTCTCTCTCTCTCGCCCGGTCTGAGAATTCTCAGAAACTTGACTTCCGACGGGGAATGGAAGGCAAAGTGCTGGAAATTTCTAGAAGCTTTCCGTCACTGTTGTTTTCCTTTCTTTGGCCCAAGGGAAGCTCCGAGGCTCTGGGTGTAACCAGTGAAACCTGTTGGTTCAGGACAGAGGGGCGGGAGGAGTGTGTGGGCTTTCTGTATAGAATAACATATACTCCTGGAGGCGAACCCAGGGGTTCAGCTGCTGCAAATGCAAATACAGTACTATTATTATTATCAATTGTAGATCCTCACACTCCATGCCCTGGCACCTCCCTACCTCTCCCACCTGCTTAGCCCCCAACCCACCACCTGCCGCCTCTGCTCAGCCAACTCCAGGCTCCTGTCCATCCCTCGTCCCCTCCCCTCCACTCCACCATCGGTGGCCTCCAGCCACTTACGCCCCGAAACTTGGGAACTCTCTCCCTCAATCCCCTTCCACCTTGCCCGTTCCTTCCCCCATTTTCAGATCATACCTATGGTCACCTCCTCCCTCCCTCCCTCCCTCCGGCCCCCCCCCCCCCCCCACCCCCCCACCCCCGGCTCGGTGTCAGGCTCCGTCTGCCACTGTTAAGCCCTCCAAGACGCTGCCCGGGGTGAAAGGCGCTGTATAAAAGCAAGTTGTTGTTGTGTTATTACAGGTTAAATCATTCTGTAAAGGTAGTTTCAGTGATGGTCAACCAGACCAATAGCACTGCCATGTTACAGAGGGACGGATGTCATTTTCTCAGTATGTTTGAACTTCCTGCAGTAACTATTTTTGGCAGCATGTTGATGTTTTGTTCACCAGTTATCTTGTTGAGCCTTTTCCGAATAGTCTTATTCACAGTCCCAGCAGCACCGATTAGTATAGTAACTGTCTTTTATACACGGCCTTCATATTTTAAGGTTATTGTTATTATTTTTATTATTATAACGTCCGCATTCAATTTGCAGGTCAACATATTTCCTAGTTTTCTCTCGTTCCTTATTTCTTACATCGTAATCAATAATACTACACGTACAATCTAGTTGTTTTTTTGATGATAGTATCTGCTTGTTACAGATTACTGTCCTGTCTGCGTGTACCTGTGACTCCCAAATCCCTGATGACTTTCCTAACTCAGTGCCGTGTTTGGATATACGTCGCATTCGCGACAGTTCTAGATTCTAAACCGCTTCAATCCACGACTGTTTGGCTGCCCCATTTTGGCCACAAAACATACATTCAGTTCACTTCATAGTATATCCTGTGAAGGGCTTTTGAGACGTTTCGAAGACGTGATAATAATAACAAGAATAATCCTCGCATTTGATCAAGCGCTTGTCACATCTTCGAGACGTCTCAAAGCTCTTCACAGAATAGACGGTGAATTGAATTGACTGTACATTTGTGGGTGAAACGCGGCAGCCAATTGTGCACAGCAGCGTCCCCACAAACAGCCGTGGATTGAAGTGACCAANTTTTTTTTATCAGTGGTTTTTTTTCTTGAGGGATTATTATCAGGGTTGTGGAGTGAGGAAACTTGCCCGAGGTTTCGCCCTGACTGTGAATCGACCTCAAGTGTCTCACTTGCGAGGCGAGTGCTCTAACCGCTGAGCTACAGGATCCCTCAAGGTGCAGTGTCAAATGCAAGATTATTATTATAATGTTGATGATGGTGATGTGAGCTCCTGATGGCTAAGCTCTGTGTTTGCGATCCCTACAGCTGTGGAGTGTATTTACTACAATGGTGAGGTTTTGGAGTGCACGTGGAGTCTGGCTGATGGCAATGTGAACTACACCATGTACTACTGGTGAGTGTGGCTTTGACACTGAGTCGGAATCTCCCCGAGAGCAGAACTTCTCAAATCAGGTTTTCCTGCTTCCTGTAGGTTTGTCCCATGTGTGTCGGCTTGGCCCAGTGGTAGCCGCTCGTCTCTGAGTCACAAGCTTGTGGCTTCGAATCCCACGTCAGGACTTGACCTCGCACAGTCTAAGCTGACCCTCCAATGCAGCGCTGGGGTGTGCTGCGTTGTCGGAGGATGAGACATTCAATCGAGGTCCCGTCTGCCTGTTCGGGAAGATGTTAAAGATCCCGCGGGGCTATTCGAAAAGAGAAGGGAGTTTTTCTCTCTCTCTCTCTCTCCCGGTGTCCTGGCCAACAATCCCCCAAATAAAAGTGGTCACTCACTCCATGGCTGTTTGTAGGATATTGTAGGACAGTGTGCTGAGTGCTGGGGTGGGGGAGAGAGAAAAGAGAATGTTCTAGAGCTTTGCCTGGGTGTAAAAGCCCTGATGTGAGACCCTGTCCCAAGTATGCAGGGAACTAATGGTCGAGTCTGTGAGAGAGATTTCGACATTGTCCAAGTCTTCAGCTGTAATCTACTCCAGGGAGTTAGAGAGTTTTTATTTATATATATATATATATATGTTTGTCTCAAGGTGTTTTAAAAAAAGGGAATGAGAATTGAATAGTCCCCCTGATCCTACTCCTCTCTAGCTCTGCGACTTCAACACCATAATCAACCTTTCTGCTTCCTCCATTCAGCAGACATTGGTTTGCTCCATGTCCCCCATCCTGCCCACCCCACCATTGATTTATCTGCCCCCACCTCTGGAACTCCATCCCCGAATCTCTCCGCCTCGCCTCCTCCCTTGCCTTTTTCAAGGCCTGTCTCAAGACCTATCTCTTTAACCGTGTCACACTCCCACCCCTGCTCTCCCTGCCTTCCAACCCTCTTGATTCTCACCCCTCTGCAAACCCTTAACTGTCCAGCACCTTGAGACATCATCCGACGTGAAAGGTGCTGTAGAAATGGAACCTGTTGTTGTTGTTGGAATAGTAACTGTTGCACACCTTCTCTCCCAGGTACACATCAGAACCAGCTGAGGAATGTGGCTCCTACATCCAGCAGGACGGCTACAACATTGGCTGCAAGTTCACAAAGGACAAGATCCGGGAGTTTGTGAATTTTCACGTGCACCGGATTGGGATCAATGGCTCGGAGAGCGTGTTCCCCCCCAACCAAACCTTCCAGCTGCAGGACCAAGGTACGGGGGACAAGAAAGGCCTTTAACAGCACCTTTTGACCATCGCTCGCAGCGCTTTGCAGGAGATTAACGTCAGGTGCAGTGACTGGGTTTGTTGGTAGGCGGCAATTTCGCATCCGTGAGATCACGCGAGGCGAATGCTGCGTTGACCTGGGGGATTGTTGGCCACACAAGTGGGGAGGACCTGCCTTTGCTTTTGTGGTGGTGCTGTGGGAACTTTGATGTGCAGTTAAAGAGGAGATAGATGGGACCTGAGTTTAATGTCCTCATCTGTAGGATCGTACGCCCGACTACACAGCCCTCCCCCTCCCACCCCCCTCGCCAGCTCTGCACTGGCCACAATCTTCCAGATTAAAAGGTTATTCACCTCATGGTGCTCTGTGGGCATTGGGTGGATTGGCTTATTCTGCGTGTGGTGCCAAGCACTTTGAGACATTCTGACTGGTTACAAAAGGTGTAACAAACGTGCGAATGCCACGTTATGTATATAAATGGTATTGCGGCAACTTTCTCCTGGACGATGTGAGGCTTGTAGGAAACTGCCTGGAGTTTCGTTGCTTTCTCTGAATCTCGAGCTCGCGGAGACTTGGGTTAAATTCAGTTTATGGAACGTTCAGGTTATGTTTTTTCAGTGAAACCCAATCCTCCGGCCAACCTGACCGTCAACGCCATGGCCAACAGCAGCATCTCCCTGACCTGGGAGGCGCCCATGATCCCACGCTGTCTACAGTACGAGATCAAATACAGGAGCAACAAGGACAAAGACTGGCAGGTACCGCGAGCCAATTTACTCTTGCTTTCCTGCACGTATGAGTGTTAGAGTGATCCCAGCCAATACTCCACCATTAACAACAAGTGGAAGCTCGTCTCGCACGTGAGAGGACCCGGGTTTGATTCCCGGGGCAGGGCAAATGTTTCCTTACTCCACACGCCCCTGTTTTCCCAGCAGTAAGTAGGAACCCGGCTGTTAGTCAATTGGTGGATCACTTTCTGGGGGTAATAATTCCTCCCCCCAAAAATGTGACTCAATTCACGATGGAGCCAGGCTGACCCACATTCTTGTTTCTTATCCACAGACAGAATATTGCAACGAACAAACAAAATTCACGTTGCCGAGCGTGAACCCAGACGACCTCTACGTGTTTTGCGTGAGAAGCAAAATCAACGATTTTTGTGGCCTGAGTCACCTGTGGAGTAAATGGAGCTCGCACATTTACTGGGGAGAAATCATCACAGGTAAATTCCCCCCTCATCCCCCTGTTCACCAGTATCTGACTCCCCACGGAGTCACTTTGACACTGGGATCTAATGCGTTCACTTACTAGTTCCTTAATCAGAAATCCGTTACAATTCCTGACTCCGGGACCAGATCGTGTCACGGAGCAGTGCAGTTACACGCCTCCAGTTAATGTGGAAGAGATTGCCCCCTGTGTTCCCACAACCCGGACTCCTTGTTGAGCAACATCTTTAATAAATAGTCCTGTAGGTTAGTGGTTAGAGTTCTCACCTCACAAACAAGAGAGACCTGGGTTTAATTCCCGGGCAGAGCAAAGCATTGGGCAAGTTTCCTTACTCCACACGCCTCTGTTTACCAGCAGTAAGTAAGAACCCAGTTGTTAGACGATTGGCGGATTGCTTTCTGGGGATAATAATCCCTTCAAAAGAACAAATAAATAATAACGTGGTCACTCAATCCACAACTGTTTGTGGGACGCTGCTGTGTGCAATTGGCTGCTGCCTTTTGCCCACAAAATATACAGTCACTAAACGTTACAGTATATTCTGTGAAACGCTTTGAGACGTCTCAACAACAAGATAATGTGCTATATCAAATGCAAGGATTATTATATTATAATATTATTATTGTCTTACAGAGCCCGAGGAGAAGAATTTCTATTTCTGGATCCTGATCTCGATCCTGGCTGTTGTGGTGTTATTGCTGATTATTCTGTGCCGGTTACAGAATAAAAGGTAAACTTGGTCTTGCTTTAGGCTCAGAAAGAGGCTGATTGAGGAACTTTGCATCGATTAGGTCAGAGACAGACATGACACCCCCCCCCCCACCCAGTGTTTCAGCCACTAAGCCCTGAAACTCTGGAACACTCTTCCTCTATCCCTCCGTCTTGCCCCTTCCTTCCCCCATCTTCAGATTGCGCCTGGAAACCTTCCTCCTCGACCGTGCCTTCGGTCACCTCCCTCTCTCCCCCGGCTCGGCATTAATAATAATAATAATCCTTGCATTTGATATAGAGCTTTTCACATCTTCTCAACGTCTCAAAGCGCTTCACAGAATAGACTGTAAAGTGAAGTGACTGTATGTTTGTGGGCGAACGCGGCAGCCAATTGCGCACAGCAATGTCCCACAAACAGTCGTGGATTGAAATGACCAATTTATTATTGTTTTTCTTGAGGGATTATTATCAGGCTGTGTGTGGAGTAAGGAAACTTGCCCAAGGTTTCACCCCCTGCCGGGAATCGAACCCAGGTCTCTCACTTGCAAAGTGAGTGCTCTAACCACTGAGCTACAGCTCTCTGTTTGTGCTCCTTACCTAAAATTAAAAAGATGTGGTCACTCAATCCACAACTGTTTGTGGGGACGCTGCTGTGCGCAATTGGCTGCCGTGCTCCGCCCACAAAATATACAGTTAATTCACTTTAAGATATACTCCGTGAAGCGCTTTAAGAGGTCCCAAAGATGTGATAAGGCGCTATGTCAAATGCGAGGATTATTATTATTATTTAATATAAATCCTGGCCCTTGGACTCGGGTGGAAAGGGCCTTCGTTTGTCTTGTCGTAAGGTTGAAAAATTGTTGCACCATTTCCAATCGAACGTGTCTCTCAGGTTACAGTCAATCTTTCGGACGTCGGGACCTGCTCCTGAACAAACAATTGTGCCCCTGATCGAGAAAATCAATCAAACCAACGGGACCATCAAGGTACATACAATAAGAAACTGTTATTATCTAATAATACAGGGCAATCATTCATTATACAATAACACAGGACAATACTAAGCCTTTGATCCAGGACATGTGGAGTCAGGATGGGTCACAATAAAAAGGGGTTCACACCCTTAACTGGTGTCAAGTTTAGTGATTGCGATCTGTAGCCAACAAATGCAGCAGCACCTTGCAGTCACACAGGAGCTTTCATGTGGCGGTCTGGCTCAGTTGCAGCACTCTCTGAGGCAACAGTTGTGGGTTTGAGCCCCACGTCAGGACTTCAAGCTCACAGTCTCGGCTGACGCGACAGTGCAGTGCTCGGGGAAGCACTGAATTGTCAGGGTCACCCGTCCGTCAGGTGAGCTCCTGTCTGTGCTGCGGACGGTGAAAGTGGATGGTAAAGATTTTGCAGCGCTATTCAAAAAGAGAAGTGAGTTTCTCTCTCACTGCCGGTTTCCTGGCTGACAATTCCCCCAAATAAAACTAGTCACTCACTTCGTGGCTGTTTGCGGGATATTGCTGTGTGCAAAATTGGTTGTAAAATTTGCCTACAAAGTACAATCACGACCACGTGAGCTTCGAGACGTCCTCCTGAGGTGATAACAAATGGTTATATTTAGTCTTATGTTTGTGTGAAAGAAACTTTTATTAGAATGAGATAAAATGAAGAGAACCTTGTAGGGGGAGTGGGGTGGGGGGTGGGGGGGGGGGTGAAGGCAGGCAATTCATTTGAATTGGAAAGAAAGAGTGGGAGGAGGGAACGTCACCCAGGATAACTGGGAGAAGAACAGCAGTCAAACAGGAGGAGCCTCCGACACAAGAGGGAAGAGGAAAGGAAAATTCTGATGTCTTTTTTCTCTCGGTGTGTTTTCTCTGCCAGGAAACTCAAGAGGTCCAGTAAGTGGATTGATCCGTGTTCTCCCCCACCACCCACCCACCCACCCACCCACGCCAACCCCCCCCCCACCACCCAGCTACACTCCTCGTCTGTTCCTTCGGGACAAGGTGGACGAGCCGCTCGCTGGGTTTTAAAACCACCTTGAGGCCTCTTAAAGGGACAGTGCAACGAATGTCCGCAACCTGCTTTCTGTGCGCTGTGCTGATGTCCCTCACAGTGAGAGATTACGTCTTCGCTTCAGGGAAATGCGCCGAATGAATGAATGAATAAATAAATAAATAAATAAATATACAAATAAATATATTTCCAAATGGTTTCCTGGCATTTCCTCAAATGTTTTCAGTCAGTCAAACCCACTGCCTGCAGCGAGGGGAGGGGGGAATGTCTAATGGGGAGAGTTTATGATGGCAGGGGGTGTGGACTTCTGCACAAAATGGCTCCTTGTAGCCTGTGACGTTCCAAAACATCACACCAGGTACGGGAAGTCCCAGAGCATTCAACCACTCATGGGAATCCAGATGTTCCAGAGTCAGGTCACAAAGGGTTGGTTAGTGGCAGATCCTAATGGGTCAGTTTGGTGCTTGGTGATGTTTAGGGTTGACGGTTGGTTGATGGTGTCTCCTGTTTGAAATAAATTCAGACGTGAAGCCAACCACAGGAATTGGGGGGGGTGGGGGGGGGGGGGGGGTTGGGGTGGGGGGGAGATTGGCTGTTCACCCAAACCGTGATGAGAATCTAGCAAATCCGCAGAAAATATTGTGCAGTCTTTTATGAGGTTTCCTGTTCTCTGAACAAAGTAGGACACGACCTAAAAACGAGAGAGTGCGGCTTTGTTTTTGACCTGAAGGTCCTCTGGTTCTGAACTCAGGTCAGTTGTTTGCACGCTCGCCTCGGAGTCAGGAGGTTGCGGGTGCAAGACACACAGCGCTGGGGGTGGGTGGGGGCTGCTGGGGGGGACATTCCATTGTCAGAAGCGCTGCCCCTTGGATGAGATGTTAAACCGAGCTCCCCGTCAGGACCTCTCCTCAGGTCCCGCTCGAAAGGATAAGGGAGTTTCTCTCTCCTGGCTGTCCTGGCTGACAAACCCCGGGATACAATCGGTCGCTCACTTCACGTCTGTTTGTGGGGACGTTGCTGTCCATAACTTGGCTGCCGCCCTGGCCTGCAAAACACACAGTCACTGGGCTTTACAGTAAATCCTGTGAAGCACTTGGTGACATCTTCCTGATGTGTGAAGGTGCTGCATCAAGTGTGTGTGTGTGTGTGGTGTCTGTGTGTGTGTGCTCCAGGGGATGATTGGCGGCTGTCTGTAGGACAGTGAGGTGTAGAGTTTCCTCTATAAGATGTGAGATGTTTATCTGCTCGGAGCTCAGTGTTCTCTTTCGTGTGTGACAGGATATGGCTCGTGTGGTCGGCCTCGTTGGGAACAACTGCTGCCGTCTTTGCAGCTGGAATAACGGCCCCCGTTCAGTTCTCGCTCTCACATTGTGGGCGCTCTGGAAATTCACCTCAATACCAAAAGCTCTTAACCACTTTGATGTAAGGGAGTTGTGTAGTGCTTAGAGCACTCGCATTGCCAGTTTTGATTCCCAGGCAGAGCAAAGCCTTAGGCAAGTTTCGTTTCTCCACACGCCTCGGATGACTAACCTAGTCAGTAAGTAGGAACCTGGTCATTAGTGGATTGGCAGATCACTTTCCGAAGTTAATAAGCCCTTCAAAAAACAAATAATAATAATAATTTGGTCACTCGATCCACGATTGTTGTGGGACACCGCTGTGCGCGATTGGCTGTCACGTTTCATCCACAAAATACCGTCACTACACTTTACAGCACATTCTGTGAAGCGCTTTGAGACGTCTCAAAATGACGTAATAAGGCGTTATATCAAATGAAAGGATTATTAGTGGTAGTAATAATGCCCACAGCACAAGAGACAGTGGATTTATGTTATTTATTTAACTCAGAAAGGAAGAGAACAACGTTATCAAAGCCCCCCCCCCCCCCCCCCGCACACACATTCACACAGCAAGAAGCTTCTATAATTCATCACCCTGGTATACAGTGAAACTAATTATTTCCTACATAGCAATTCCTGTGGTTTGGTTGTATGTTGGCTTCCAGAGCAGCAATAATACAATAATAACAATGCTAATAATAGCAGCTCTTAACCTGCTGTGATGGTGGGGTGGGGGTGGGGGGTGGGGGGAATAGTCAGTGCATTGGGCAGGGCTTTGGAGGGTGGATGGTAAATTTGCTCTGAGACCTGGGGTCCAACTGTGGAGTACTCGGGTTGGCGATGGCCTTTTCCCAACTGATGGAAACATCCATTCGGCATTCATTGCATTTCGTGTCGGGAGGATGTTCCAGGGCACTGGATAATGAGGGGTTTGCACCCAAGATGGAGCTTGAATTCAGAGAGGGAGGAGGGCAAGGTGTAAATTATGTCAGAAGGACGTCTCAAAGTGTCTGACTCAGCCAACTGAGCGCCCAAAGTGGGGGTGGTTGTGGGGTGCAGGGGGGAGGGGGAGGGGGAGCGAGGAGGGGAAGATGAGGTATCGGAGGAAGGGGTGGGTGGGTGGGGGAGGGGGAGGCATGGAGGGAAAAGGTGGGTGCAAGTGAGGTCAAAGACCCTTTCACTTTCCGCAGCCCGATCGTTACTTCTGAAGTGAAGTGTGCGGAAATGTTTCACAGCAGGTTTTGTTGGCAAAGTTAGCAGCGACGGCTTATACATAGTCTGTACGGTCGTAGGCTGTGGGGGAGCGAGGAAGGAGGCAATGGAACCTGAGACTGTCTGTGGCTCAGCAGGAGGTGGTTTGGCTTTGCCGTGATGCATTGCTTGGTTTTATTGGCTGTTTAAAGGGCCCCTTTATATTTCGAGCCTTTAATTTGTCGTGGGCTCGATTGCCTCTGTTTACCAAGTGGCCAAGCTGTGGAAATAACCTGTGACGATTTATTTCCCTGAATGTAATCAGACTTGAGGATCTTTAGCTCTGACATTAAATGGCATCTGGCTCCTGCCCCCTCCCCCTCCCCCGCCCGCTCTACAAATATTGATCATAAACAGAGCCCCGAGGAAACACAGTTAGAAAATACTCTGGACAAAAAGTGAAGCATCACAGTAAATACAAACGTTCCATAAGTCATTATTAACTTCTTGATATAAGGGTTCTTTGTTTCTTGTGGCAACAACAACCAATTACATGTGTAAAGCGCCTTTCAAGGCGCTCGACCGTCAAGAGTTTGGGACCCGAGCTGGGGTTGTGATCGGGGAGGGTAGAGGGCGGGGAGGTGGGTGGGGGGGAAGGATGGTGATAGAAGGCACGGTCAAAGAGAAGGGTCTTGAAACAAGTCTTGAGGGAGGCAAGGGAGGGGGCGAGGCGGTAGGGGGCTTGGTTCCTCCCTACCTCTGCGACCTCCCAACCCCCTACAATCCTGCTCGCTCCCTCCACTCAGCGGGCTCCGCCTGCTTCATGTCCCCCGCCTCGCTCGCCCCACTATTGGCGAGTGGGCCTTCAGCCACTCTGCCCCCACCCTCTGGAAGTCCATCCCGCAGTCCCTCACCTCGCCCCCTCTCTCCTCTCCTTCAAGAGCCATCTCAAGACCCTCCTCTTTGACCAAGCTTTCGATCACCCTCCTGCCGTCCCCTTGCCCTCCGCCCTCCCTGACCCCGCTCCCCCCACCACACCGGCTCGGGTCCGAAGCTCTGACTGTCCGGTCGGTGTTTTGGGACGTCCTCCCCACGTGAAAGGCGCGTTACAAATATAATTTTGCTGTTGTTGTTCTGTGCACATATAGCGCCCGTCATGAGCCCGACATCTCGGAGCGCTGCGAACGAAGAGTGGCTGCTTATCTGCTCCTGCGCTACTCCCCCAGGCTGCCTCCGACGCTCGCTGGCTTCTGGGCGCTTCCTGTTTTGTTGCTCAGCCACATTCCCTGCCGCCACTGGCGCCACGGGGGGAAGCAACGGAAAGATAAAAGAACAAGACTCGGGTCAGTCGGTTGCCCCACTCGGGGTACGATACACGTAACAAGCGCAGCAGAGCAAAGCGGCGCACTCGGAGGCCGCCTTTCTACGGGGTGAAAGTGCTTGGCTTACCGATTCGGAGGAGTCGGTGTGAATTTTAACAGTTTAACTCGGGACGGCTTTTAAGTTGATTCATTTTTTTGTGGTGGGGAGGGGGGGGTTGGGGGGTGGGGGGGTGCTGTGGGGGGGCAGGGAATTGATATTTATTTCCTGTTGAGGAAGAAAGGGTGAAATCCGGATTTTCCCCGGCCAAGTTTATCCCAGGGAGTGGGGTGGGGAGTGGTGGGGGTGGGGGGAGAGGGGTTGAGTGGGGGTGGGAGTTGGGGGGTGGGGAAGCAGCGGTATAAAGACCGAGGAGTTTTGCCCCATTGTTTACATCGGGGATGGGGTGTGTCCAACCTTTTGGAAGTTCCACCTAAAAAGAGTTAATTTTTTTTTGCATAACTACTTCTATGGGGAGAGAGACCACGTTTCTCATTAGGGGAAAAACCTGTGGAAACCACATGTGGAAGAACATGTTTTTTGTGCGTCATGTATTCTGAGGGCAAGCGATTGGTTGGGGGAGGGGTTTAGAATGCCGTCAATTCTCCCCCGTGTTGGTTGTGTCGCAGTGTCTAAACCCTCACGTAGATGTTTTTGTTTATGCCGTACCTATTGCTCTCTGCTAAACGCACCACGTCAATGAAGAGGGTCTCGGGCTGGACCCCTCCTCCGTTGCTGGGAACCGTGTCCTTGCCCAGGAACACTGGCCTCTCCAAGTGCTGCCAGAGTCCTCGCTGCTGGGTGTCCTCTTTGGAGTAGGGAGGGGGCTCGCTCACGAGGCATGCGTTCTCGTGGTAGATTGGTTTGAAGCCCTCCAGCGTGTCCTTGGGAACTCCCAGCCAATCCTACAGTTCAACACACATTACAATTATACACAGCACCAGGACAGTCAGGGATTCTGACCTGAGAATGGGTGGGATCAGGAAGGGTGGAGGGCAGGGAGGGTAGGAGGGTGACCGAAGGCGCGGTTGAAGAGGAAGGTCTTGAGACGGGCCTTGAAGGAGGCAAGGGAGAGGGCAAGGCGGAGGGACTGTGGGAGTGGCATCTCAAACACTTACACAGATGTAAAGCTTCAGAGAGATCAACAACATCCTGTTTATATAGTACCCTTCAAGATCATTTACTCTGTGTCTGATTGTGGTTCAATACTGTGCACATATTGGCCGATGCGTTTGCCTACAAATACACAGTAACTACGCTTTGGAGCAATTCCCTGTGAAGCGCTTTGAGGTGTTTCGCTGTTACAATCCCACTTATAAAATACCGGGATGATTATTGTTATAATTATTTTTCTACCTGAAAGTTCCCACCAAAGTTGTCGAACAGAGAGTCAAACCTCCTTCCTGGGTTTGGAATCTTTGGGATGATGATGACCTTGAGTCTAGAAGCAGAAGAAGAGGAAAATAAACATTGGGATAAACCAGGACTTTGGGGAATGAGCCACTGTCCCTGAGCCCAGTTAGGAGTTTGGCAGCAATGGGGACTGTTCCCTTTTCATGCAACTTCTCAACTGAGATACCAGAATCTGTCAGTTCTGCTCTGGACCACTGGATGGTGCGCCGAGGCATGTAAGATCCTTCCCTTTGGGGTGATGAGGGGCGGGTGGGTGGGGGAGGCAGAGGGTAATCAATGACTGATTTGGAATGAGGTTGGTGTCAGAATGCTGGATTCATTTAAGAAACAGCTCAGTGCTGTGATGGTGGACATTAGGATTGGGAACTCTGAGACCAAATGCAATGAAGGGTCTTCTTTTTCCAAATCAATCTTGTGATTCCCCTCCCACGCAGCAAGCAAAGGCACGTGGGGAGGCACTGAGCGAAAACAAGAATCGGATTCTCTCCCCACACCTCAAGACCCACCGGCAAAGCTGACATGAACAACTGGGTGAAATGAGCAGAGTGTGAGCCCCGGATCAAAACAGGTCAATCTCCTTCAGGCAAAGTCACATAAAGGGTGAGTTTAGCAAAACAACACAGAGGGTTGGTAGGATGTTGAAATGGCCCATCAAACATGTTGCTTTAAGCAGAATCTGTAATTGCTTTTAAAAGGGAATTAAAGAATTGTTTGGGAAGTGGAAAATATAAAAAGGGTGAGAGGTGGAGGGGTGAGAGGGGAGGGGGGAAGGTAGAAAGTTGGGACTAAACAGGTAGCACTCTCACTAGAACAGGTAGTATGAGCCGAATGACCTCCTTCTGTGCTATAAAATTCTACGATCCTCACGAGAAAATAGTAATGCTGAAATGAGGTGAGAGAAAGAGAGAGAGAGAGAGAAAGTGCTGATGTAATAAGGCTTTGTGCTACTCACTTTTCATTCTTTAGTATAAGCACGAGCAAAATTAGAGCCAAAATGATAAGTCCAGGGATCAAAGTGATGCACATTTGAAGCCTGGTGTCTCCGGGAGTTTCAGTGGCGTCTACGAAACAGAAAAAGAAATTGTCCTGAATAAAGCGAATAACATTGGATTTACCTTCAGATTAAGATTGAAAAGGTTCCACAGTTGGGGCTCGGACATGCGATGGTCCTCTCCTGCCCCCGCACCCCCCAATCTTCCTTCCTCTCTAACCTTGGGGTAGTGTGGGGAAGGAGGGAGGTGCTGATACTTACCTAAATTGCCCCAAGTCACCGATGAGCTCCACTCACTCCAGAAGAGAGTTGTACCACAAAAATCGTTGATCTTAGCCCGTACTTTAAAGGTGTAGAGTTTCTTTGGGTCCACACTCGGCACGGGAAACTTTGTTTGTTCTTGCAGGGATTCAATCTGTTTGTGGGCGAGAAAAGGGGAAAAAATAACAGAGTGGTATGCAATTTAAAGTTCACGGAATCTGTTTAATGGGTCATCTGAAGGATGCAACTCAGACAATCCAACGCTCCCTCCCCAACCAGGGCTGGAGTGTCAGCCTGGACTAACGATTTTAAAGGCTTGAACAGAGATTAGTAATAGAGAGAGAGAGAGAGAGAGAGTGTGGTTAACCAAGGAGTGAGAGTGCTACCAACTGAGCCAAACTGAGCCCTGAAGGTACATCCGTGGGCCTGACATTATTCAAGCTCTCTCGGTACCTGCCAGTCTTTGTCCTTGTTGCTCTTGTACTTGATCTCATACTGCAGACAGTGTTGGATCATGGGTGGCTCCCAGCTCAGGGAGATCCCGTTGTTGGTTGTGGTGTTGACGGTCAGGTTTGTCGGAGGATTGGGTTTCACTGGGAAGAAAGCACAGAAATGTGTCGATCGGCCCCATCAGGTCTGCCCTAGTGGGGTTCCCCCAGGCTTAACCTGCTCCTGATTTCAAACCAATTCAGGGCTCAGTTCAGTCAACGAGAGGCTGAGTCAAAGCCGATCTTCCTGGTCAGTGAAAGCCAGCGAGCAAGGTGAGGTGGGGTGGAGTGGGGGGGAGGGGACGTGTGCGAGGGGAGAGTGGGCCGTGGGAGTCTACACGCCCATCGATTTTTTTTTAATTTCAACTCGAGCCCGTTCCAGCTACTAAGAATTCCAGACACCAGGAATCTGGTCCGGTTCAGTGGCTAACAACCGTTACCACACCCAACTAATCGCTCAATCTTTAGATTGTGGCTGAGAACCCCCTCCCAGTCCCCGCTCTGTGTCCCACCCCTCCACCTCCATGCCCTGTGTCCACCTGCCCCCACACCCGCATACCTTGGTCCTGCAGCTGGAAGGTTTGGTTGGGGGGGATCACCCTCTCCGAGCCAATGATCCCAATCCGGTTCACGTGAAAATTCACAAACTCCCGGATCTTGTCCTTTGTGAAGTTGCAGCCAATGTTGTAGCCGTCCTGCTGGATGTAGGAGCCACATTCCTGAGCTGGCTCTGATGCGTACCTGGGGGGGAAGGTGTGCAACACATCTTAGTTCAGGAGAGAGTTAGTGTGGATAATGTGAATAATGAACTGGGTATTCTTGCAGGGAATTAACTGATAACTATTTAGTTGCTTTTGGTGGGATTCTGATCCACAGGTTCCCTCCCTGCATTCTGTGTAAAGGCATTAGGGTGGGTCGATGAGTGGCACAGTCTCCTCTAAGTCACAAGGCTTTGAGCTCGTTGTCTCGGCTGACATTCTAGTGCAGTGTTGGTGGAGCTTTGCACTAATAATCCTTACATTTCCTTTTTTTTGATATAATGCCTTATCATGTCTTCAAGACTTCTTAAAGCGCTTCACAGAATATACTGTAAAGTGAATTGACTGTATACTTTGGATACAGTGGAGTCCTGTAGCTCAGTTGTGGAGTCCTGTAGCTCAGTGGTTAGAGCACTCGCTTTGCAAGTGAGAGACCTGAGTTCAATCCCAGGCAGAGGGCGAAACCTTGGGCAAGTTTCCTTACTCCACACAGAGCCTAATAATCCCTCCAAAACCAAAAACAATAATAAATTGGTCATTTTCAATCTACGACTGTTTGTGGGACATTGCTGTGCGCAATTGGCTGCCGCGTTCGCCCACAAATATACAGTCAATTCACTTTACAGTGTGTTCTGTGAAGCGCTTTGGGACGTCCTCCCGACGTGAAAAGCGCTATATCAAAGGCAAGGATTATTATTATTATTATTTTGCGGGCAAAACGCGGCAACCAATTGCGCACAGCAGCGTCCCACAAACAGTCGTGGATTGAGTGATTAGATTTTTATTTATTTATTTTTGAGGGATTATTACCCCTGGAAAGCGATCCGCCAACTACCGGGTTCCTACTTACTGCTAAGTAAATAGAGGTGAGTGGAGTAAGGAAACTTGCCTCAGGTTTTGTCCCATCCGGGAATCAAACACAGGTCCTCTCGCTTGCGAGGTGAGTGCTTTAACTACTGAGTTACAGGGGTCTATTTGGCTCATCTCATTGTTTCCTCCCTCACCCACCCTCACGCGAGGATAGGATCGTGTTTCAGTATGAGGGCAAACAACCTCACTGACACTCACTCTCCATCCAGGCTTCCACATGAAGAATGGCCACTTGGACGCGCATGAGACATCAGTGCTTAGAACCAACCACAGTTGTCAGCTTGAAGAGGAGGACGGGAATAAGAGAGAGAGAGACAAGAGGCCATTAAACCCCTCTTTGCTGGGTTGCATTTGAGCCACACTCACCAGTAGTGCATGGTGTAGTTCGGTTCCCCATCACTGTGACTCCAGGTGCACTCCATGAAATCGCTGTTGTAGCAAATGCACTTCACAGCTGCAGAGACAACACAGAGAGCTTACACACTGCCACCTGCCAGCACGCCCGCCTTCCCGCCAGGGCAAGAGAGTACAAGAGAGGTTCAAACCAAGAAGATCCCATTCTTCTTCCATATTTGCGGTATTTCATAAAGGAATTCCTAATAGGATTTCTTTTTCCAAAGAATATTGGAAATTACTAGATTAGCCATGTCAGTTAGGCCGCAAAATACAAAGTCACTACATTTTACAGTACATTCTGTGGGGTGCTTTGAGACGTCTTGAAGACGTGATAATAATAATAACAGTAATCCTTGCATTTGATATAGCACTTTTCAACATCTTCTCAACGTCTCAAAGCTCTTCACAGAATATACTGTAAAGTGAATTGACTGTATATTTGTGGGCGAACGCGGCAGCCAATTGCGCGCAGCAATGTCCCACAAACAGTCGTGGATTGAAAATGACCAATTTATTATTGTTCTGTTTTGGAGGGATTATTATTAGGCTCTGTGTGGAGTAAGGAAACTTGCCCAAGGTTTCGCCCTCTGCCTGGAATTGAACCCGGGTGTCTCGCTTGCAAAGCGAGTGCTCTAACCACTGAGCTACAGGACTCCACTAAAGTGAATTGACTGTATATTTGTGTACAATTAAGGCACTGTATCAAATGCAAGGATTATTATTATTAATATAAAGACAGACAGACAAATTATTGCCTCAATCCAACTTTATGCTGATGCACTGAAACTAAAATCCTTTGCCCGAAGCTAAAATCTTTTCTTAGAAAAGAACTGGAAATCTGATGACTCGAATTGTTTCATTTCAAAGAAACTGATCTTGTGAGAGAAACTGTGAAGTGTAATGACTGTGAATTTGTAGGCAAATGCGGCAGTCAATTCATGCAGAGCAAAGCCCCTCAAACACCAATGACTGATTCTGATCTGGCCAGGACTCCAGGAGGAACTCTCTTTTTGAATAGTGTCCTGGGATCTTTAATATCCACCTGAACAGACAGATTGGGACTTGGTTTAAGGTCTCATCCAAAGGATGGCATCTTTGATGGCATCTCTGATGGCACGCAGCACTCTCCCACCACGACATTGGCATGTCTGCCTACACTGAACTGAAAGTGCCAACGTTAGGACCAGAACCCACAAGCTTCTAAGTCACAGGGAAGATATAGGCTGCACAAAAATATAACTGAATTGAAGAATTTTCCACAATACTTGATAAGGACTGCAGAGAAACACAGTTTCCAAATTAAACCGCCATTAAACTGCCGTGGCCAAACATAGGATCTTAGGGCACAGAAGGAGACCATTCGGCCTATCGTGCCTGTGTCAGCTCTTTGAAAGAGCTACCGGCCAGACAACAACAACAACAACAACAAGATTCCATTTATAAAGCGCCTTTCACGTCAGGAGGACGTCCAGACCCACTTCCCCGCACTTTCCCCAGAGCCCTGGAAATTTTTCCACAATTACGTTGCAGTTAAATGTTCAATGTGGAAAAATGGAATAAAAAGAACTCGGATACAGATGAATAAAAATATCCTCTGAAATTGCTAAATGTGTCACAAAAAATTCCACTGTGGGTTTTGCGATCAGAGATTTCAATCAGGTGTTTGAGGTTTACTGGGGGTTGGTGAATGATGTCAGACCAATGCTCAAATGAATATAGATCTGTTAATCAGTTTCATCTCAAAGAAACGGCCTGAATTCCTACCTGACCTCAGCTTGTGAGACATTTTGCCTTATAATAATAACAATAATAATCCTTGCATTTGATATAGCGCTGTTCACGTCTTCTAGACGTATCAAAGTGCTTCATAGAATAAATTGCCTTAAAGTAGCACGCAAGATCTTTTTGTTTTAAAATATAAGATTTTAATTTGGAAGATGGTTTTCTGATTCTTAAAAAGAATCAGTTTCCAAAATTAAGATTGAATTTAAAAATTTCCAGATTATCTGCACATTATTATTATTATTATTATTATCGACATCATCATCATCTTTGATACTGGAACAACAACAATAACAAATGACATTTACACGGCGCCTTTCAAGTCGGGAGGACGTCCCAAGACGCTGGACAATCAGGGATTTGGACTTGAGTTGGGGGTTGGGGTCAGGAAGGGTGGAGGGCAGGAAGAGTGTGGGTAGGAGGGTGACCGAATGTACGGTTGAAGAGGAGGATCTTGAGACGATGGAGCGGGCCATGTGGGGGACATGGAAGGGTGGTTGATGCCAAAATGCTGGATTGATTTGACAAATAGCCTACTGCTGCCTTGAGGAGATGGCAGGATGAGGTATTCAGGAAGGATTAGGTTAATTATTCGAATCGATTCAGCGTTTTTTTTTATCCGTTTTGCAATGTCCTTGGTTTGGGCTACACGGAAAAAGATAAGATCTTAACTCAAGAAAATAATTCTAAATGATCTCTTTTCTGAGTTTCTAATCAGTCATTGTTTTTGTGGGTGGTGGTGGGGGTGGGGGGCGGTGGACTGGGTGGGGAGGGTTGAGCGGTGGAGAACAGAAGATAAGAGCAGTTGAGATTATTGGAATGTGAGGTCGAATGGAGACCTTACGCTGGGACTCACAATGTCAATCATGATTAGACAATCAAATTAGTTAGGAAATAATATCTGGGAGATACAGCTTCTAGTTTGGGACATGACAAGTGCAGGCGACAGCTGGGATAGTGGAAGGTGAATTGGATGGACCCTGGCCTTCATCGTCTAGAAAATTTAGAAAATTCTTATGTTCTTATGTTTTATATCTCTATTCCACCTCCCAATCTCTTGTTCTTAACCATTCAATTCCACTCCCGCCCCCCGCCAAGAAAAATAAAACAAGTCTGACGGGTTAGGAAGAATTCTAGATACATGAAAGGCACTGTGTAAATTATTTTCTTATTCTCTTGAATTTAGATTTAACTGTTTTTTCCAAGTAGCCCAAACCAAGCGTTAAAAAAAAGTCTAAATGTATTTATTTCTGATCCGATGGTGTGGCGCACTTCAAATTCGTTTCCTGTCAGGTACTGGGCGAAAAAATACTTTTAGTCTTAACTTTTAGTTGAGAAAGACTCACGTTCAGATGATACATTGGGCTCAGCTGAGTGGAGAAGAAGCAGACAGATGAAGGGAAACAGCTCCCCAGATCCCAGAAAGTAACTGCTAGACATCTTGCGAGTCTAATCCTCAGTCGATTTTATTTCCATTCCATTCACCTAGCTCTCGCTCTCAATGTGGTCTGATGACAATAACGGCTCAAGAGCAAGTGTTTCCTTCCCTGCGTGCGCTCTCTCTCTCTCTATCTACACACACATATATATATACATGTGTATTTCCTCTGTTCTACAACCCAGAGGCAATCGTCATTTCCTCACCAATGATTCTCCCACACCAAAGTGCAGAACTTTTGCTTTGCTGTGATGCACTTTCAGGGATCTGAGAAAGAAAACCGCAGAGAAGTTAGCAAAGGAGATTAAAGTGACCAGTGCAAGCAGGACATCAGCTGTCTTCAGAGTTTAGCAGCAGCTACAGATGACTGGACACCTGAGATTTAATCTGCTTGGTTCCCCATGTTCGGGATCCACTGAGACCACGTTTAGTTCAGACCCTGCAAGAATCAGCTACAACTTTCTAAGTGAAAGGTAAAAATAAATGGAATTATATTTAAATTATTATATGTGCCACAAACAGACAGCGAACCCTGAATTGTGATCTGTTTGTGACAGAAAAGTTTATTTCCAAAGATCTTATTAGTTTCTGCCTCTGCCCCCCACCCTTTGGAACACCATCCCACAGTCCCTCCACCTCGGCCCCCCACCCCCCTTGCCTCCTTCAAGACCATCCTCTTCGACCGCACCTTTGGTCACCCTCATACCCCTATCCTGTAAACATACGGTCAATTCACTTTACAGCATATGCTGTGAAGCGCTTTGAGACTTCTAGATGTGAAAAGCACTACATCTAATGCAAGGAATTATTATTATTATAATATTATTATCCTCTCTACCCCCCACCCCTCTTGATCCCAACCCCCAGCATGGGTCCAAATCCTTGACTGTCCAGCGCCTTGGGATGTCCTCCTGATGTCACAAGCGCTGTGTAATTTGTTGTTATTTAATCTCTTACCAAGCAGGAGGTTTGCTATGCCCCATATCTATTGGACTGAGCAGATTGCTACAAGAACTTGCTTTTATATTAGAGCCACTCACGGAGCATAAGCATCTCAAAGTACTTTGTAAAGTAAAATTGTTAGAAACTGAGATGTGGGGGAGGTAAACACGACACAATCTGTACCAACGAGGTCCCAGAAATAAGTTCACTCTTCAAATTGTAAGGTTTTCTTTTGTTTCATGGTTAACAATTAGACAAGTCACAACTTCTCACCATGGAGAGATGTTTCAGAGGGGACCATATCGAGACGTGCGTAAAATTTTAAATGGGATTGAAAATCTAAACCCCCAACGGGGCTTCAGGATGGACCAAGACGGCAGAACGAGAGGAACGAGAGATTTAGAGTTTCAAAGGAGGCAATTTCAGGACCGACGCGGGAGGTTTTCGGTATCCCCCGGAAGGCCAAGACATTGGGCTCTTTTAAAAAACCGCCTGATGCTGTGATGGAAGGTTTCGCTGTTCCTGATGGATGAGATCAAATGGGCCAAAGGGCTTCTTCATCCGAACTCACCTTGTGAGGTGAGGTTTGAGTTCAACCTCTCTCTCTCTCTCTCTCTCCCCCCCTGCCCCTCCCCCTCTCTCCCCCTGCCCCACTTTCTCCCCCGCCCCCTCTCCCTCTCTCCCCCTGCCCCACCTTCTCCCCTTGCCCCTCACCCCCCCTGACCCTCTCTCCCCCTGCCCCACCTTCTCCCCCTGCCCCGCCCCCTCTCCCTCTCTCCCCCTGCCCCACCTTCTCCCCTTGCCCCTCACCCCCCCCTGACCCTCTCTCCCCTGCCCCACCTTCTCCCCTGCCCCTCACCCCCCCTGACCCTCTCCCCCCCCCCCTCTCCCCCCCCGACCCTCTCCCCCCTGACCCTCTCTCACCCCTCTCCCCCCCTCACCCTCTCCCCTCACCCTCTCCCCTCACCCTCTCCCCCTGACCCTCTCCCCCCCTCACCCTCTCCCCTGACCCTCTCTCCCCTCCTGTCAGTCACACTCCCCCTCTTTCTCGCTCTGTCCCTTTAAACGCGAAGATGGTAACAGAGCGGAGGGGGCGGGGCCTGTGCCGGTGTCTGTGATTGGCGGAGAAGCGGCAGGAAACGGATACAATAATGTTACCACTTTGATCGACAGACGACCGGAGTCTGAGGCCCAACAGCTGTGATAGGGCCCGAGCCCCCCCCCCCCCCGAGCCCCCCACAGCCTGAGCCCCCCCACCCCGAGCCCCCCCTACAGCCTGAGCCCCCCCCCCGAGCCCCCACAGCCTGAGCCCCCCCACCCCACAGCCTGAGCCCCCCCCCCCCGAGCCCCCCACAGCCTGAGCCCCCCCTACAGCCTGACCCCCCCCACCCCACAGCCTGAGCCCCCCCCCGAGCCCCCCCACAGCCTGAGACCCCCCCCGAGCCCCCCCTATAGCCTGACCCCCCCACGAGCCCCCCCACAGCCTGAGCCCCCCCCCCGAGCCCCCCCACAGCCTGAGCCCCCCCCCCCGAGCCCCCCCTACAGCCTGACCCCCCCCCGAGCCCCCCCACAGCCTGAGCCCCCCCCCCCGAGCCCCCCCACAGCCTGAGCCCCCCCCCCCCCCCCGAGCCCCCCTACAGCCTGACCCCCCCCCCCCACAGCCTGACCCCCCCCCCCACAGGCTGACCCCCCCCCACCCTACAGCTTGACCCCCCACAGCCTGACCCCCCCACAGCCTGACCCCCCCCACCCTACAGCCTGACCCCCCCCCCCCCCACAACAACCCCACAGCCTGACCCCCAGCCATGCTGACCTCTCCAGAGCTGCTCACAGCCCTCCTCCTGCTGTCCAGCGCGGTCTGGGCCGCCGATGACTCCGAGTGGGTGAAACTGCCTGATAAGTGCGAAGGTGGGTGTGTGGGTTTTTTTTGGTGGTGGGGGGGGGGCTGTGTGTCTGTGTATTTCGTTGTTTTTTTTTAAAAAAAGAAAAAAGCGCCCGACTGGACATCATCAGCCACCTGGGGAGGCTGACCTCACCTACAGAGGGAGTGGGGGGTGGGGGGGGGGGGGCTCTGCCACGGTCTGGAGACGATGATCACAATGTTGTTTGTCCTTTCAGGCAGACCAGTTCGGTCATGTTGCTGTTCATGATGATGGTGATGATGATGATGATAATAATAATCCTCGCATTTGATACAGCGCCTTTTATCGTGTCTCCGAGACGTCTCAAAGCGCTTCCCAGGATACGCTGTAAATTGGCTCAATGTTTTGTGGGCGAAACGCGGCAGCACACAGTGTGGGAGAGAACTGGCCCTTAGCTATTAAAGGATTCTTCGGATTGCTTTTAAAATAATCACAGTGGGGGGAGGGAGAGGGGGAGGTGGGGTGGGGTGGGGGTAGGGGGGGGGGTTCTGAGTTTGTTACCTGTACCAACACTATTGGGTTCTTTCTACTTGTTTTGTGAGCTTTGGGACGCCGTGGGCCTGAGGTCGGGATACTGCCGGGCAGACCAGACCGCCGGCTCCCAGCGACTGTGGTTGTCGGTGTTCAAACCAATTCCTGAATCCTTCTGATTTTTCTTCTCAATAAATGGCGGAATCCAATGGTTATAAAGTATTACCCACTGAGTGACTGAACAGAAGAAGTATTCCAAAGGGGTTGGGACCACTCGGCGGGTCAGGCAGCGTCTATGGAGAGAGGAAAGTGAGTCAACGTTTCGGGTCCACGACCCTTCGTCAGAACCCGAAACGTTGACTCACTTTCCTCTCTCCGTAGGTGCTGCCTGACCTGCCGAGTGTTTCCCAGCGACTTCTGTTCTTGTTTCAGATTTCCAGCGTCTTCAGTATTTTGCATTTAGGAGTATTATTCCTGTGGGAGTGCAAAGTTTTACCGGTTCGTCACAGCTCACTCATGTCTCACACGACTGCACACGAGTGCCTCGTGACTTGTGTCCTTCCTCAGTAGGAATTTACGATGAGATGAGTTTTGGCAAAAGGAACTTCATTTTACTTTTAAATTTACTGGGGCGGGGGGGTGGGGGGGGGGAGGAGGAGTTGAGTAAATATTGGGGCATTTGTTTCTATTTGATTGCACGGGATTATGTTGGGATTATGGTGCTGTGTTTTGAGAATTAAAGGGGTTTCTTGCATTGAGGTTAGATCAGGAATATAATGGGATGAACATTCTGCCAATATCTTTCTGTGTTTGGGCCAAAACGTGAAGCGATCCTGAGATGCTGATCACACCCGGAGAGAGGGTGAGGGAGTGACTGCGAATTGGTGGGAGGGCGAGCGTTCAAACTGCCCAGGCCAGGCAGCAGAGGCAAGAGCTTGTTAAACACTGTAAATAACCTGCTCTGTTTCCTGCTGTCTCGCTATAAGCGGAGGCTGGACGCAGGGGATAGACTGTTCCAGAGTTTCAAGGAGCTCACAAACCCGCAAAAACCTCAGACTGTGTTATTTCTGCTCCGGGTCCATGTCCCACAGCAATGTTCACCTCTTGATTCGTTCCCCCATCAGTGTCCGCCTCTGTGTTTGTTCCCCCAGTGTGCAAATTCCTCTCCGTGGAACTGAAATCGGCCTTCGAGGAGACGGGGAAAACCAATGAGGTGATTGACACCAAATATGGCTTTCTGGAAGGAAAAGGGTCGAAAATAAAATACAGGCACTCGTAAGCATATCATTGCATGTCTGCGGTTTCATTTTATTACAGCGTTACATTATTTAAGTTTTTTTTTCCAGTTATTCCTCTTGCAATTGCCAGTTATGCTCTGGATCCATTTGTGAGTATGGTTTGATATTGCATTCCCTTCCATGGGAGTGGTGTTAGCTTATAACTAGCATTGCCCGAGCCACCAGGGCTTTGGCTTTGTAGAGATGAGAATGTGTTTATACTGTACCGCCAAGTCCCATTGATGAGACAGTGAGCTGGCCACATATCCTGACTGTATTTGTTGACTGTGGACCTTTCTGTGTTGTTCAGCCCCATGTGGTTACTCCTTTTATTAACCCCCCCCCCGACATAAATGAAGTGACTAAGCCACCCTGAGAAGCGAAGCAGGAATGGTCTCTGCTGTGCAAAAGTTCATTCCTTTTTCTCTCTCTTCAAAGAGATATTCGGCTGATTGAAGTGACCGAAAACATTTGCAACCGCCTGCTGCAGTACAACCTTCACAAGGAGAGGAGTGGGAGCAATCGCTTTGCTAAGGTGAGGTGAGGGGTGTTGGTTGAGCTGCTTTTACAGTAAGGGGCAATTCCTTGATGATGAAGGGCATGTGAGGTAAGGAGGGAGGATGTGGTATTTGAAAATGGGGTCATTTCATTCCTGTTACTTCCTGTGAAAGTATCTCCCTCCTCCACCCCTCACCCCCTCCAGCGAACAACAATAATAATAATCCTTGCATTTTGATATAGCTCCTTATCACATCGTTCAGACGGCTCAAAGCACTTCAGAATATATTGTAAAGTAAATTGACTGTGTACTTTGTGGGAGAAACGTGGCAACCAATTGCGCACAGCAGTGTCCCACAAACAGTCGTGGATTGAGTGACCAAATTATTATTATTACTTTTTTGGATGCATTATTACCCCCGGAAAGTGATCTGCCAATCAACTAACAACCAGGTTCTTACTTACCGCTAGGTAAACAGAGTTGCTTCCTGTCTGGGAATCGAACTCGAGGCCTCTCCCTCGTGAGGCAAGTGCACTAACCACTACACTACAGGAATCTGTGATGGGCATAGACAATGTTCTGGCGTAGTCACTGACATCGTATCGTTTCTGTTTGCAAACCAGGGGATGAGCGAGACCTTTCAGACCCTCCATGGCCTCGTTCATAAAGGTGTTAAAGTGGTGATGGATATCCCCTACGAGCTGTGGAATGAGACGTCTGCTGAGGTGTCGGACATGAAGAAACAGGTACTTGAAGATCGGTTGTCACAGTCCCGGCCCTAGACTGAACGTAGGATCAGAGAATGTTACAGCACAGGAGGCCCCAATGTAGGGTGTTTTCTTCCATTATTAGTATTGTTTCAGGAACATACAAGGGCAAAAAAGATCATCGCGGTCCATCTCAAGTAAATAAGTGGTGTTACCCCTCTATCTGTCACACCCTTCAATTGATTCCTTCATCAAATAACTTGCTATTTCCCTTTCAAAGTTTGCTGGCAGGATCTGCCTCCCTGGCTTGTCAATTCCACACATTCACCTCTCTCACTCTCTCTCTCTCTCTGTCAAGCAGTTAAATCTGCCTATTCACTGTTGTTCTTCTTGGGCTTGGGTCCTAGTCTCCTTTAGGAACATAGGAATAGGAGTAGGCCATTCAGCCCCTCAAGCCTGCCACAGTTTTGAGTTCAGGAGAGTTGGAACAGAGTCGGGCTGATGCGAGTCAGTAAGGGATAGATATTTGGTTCTTCTAACTTTTTAGGATCAGGTGGCAGATGACTGGTCAATCTCCTTTGAGAGGGAAGGGAGTGGAGGCTATCTCACCCTATTGTGTCCTATCTTTTGCTCCTCAGTGTGATGTGATGCTGGAGGAGTTTGAAGATGTCATTGAAGATTGGTACAAAAACCATCAGGAAGATGATCTCACCCACTTCCTGTGTGAACAGCATGTGCTGAAGTCTCACGAGAAGGGTATGGAACCCAGAGCTAATGGGGCTTGTGTTCATTTAATATGTAAAGTGGAGGAAAAATCAGTTTAACTATCCCAAAGGTTTACTGTCTGGGATCTGCTGGGCCAAATATAGGAATGGGAGGAGGCCGTTCAGCCCATCCAGCCTGCTCCACCAGTGTACATAATTGATCTGTCTGTTCTCTGGTGGACGTTAAAGCATCTCATGAGGCTATCGCAAAAGAGAAGGGAGCTTCTCCCAGTGTCCTGGCCAACAATCCTCCAGATGAATCGAGCATTCACCTTGTTGGTGGGCGTTGGTGCACTTTGCAGCCCAAATGGTTGCCATGGTTGCTTACAATAAGTCACTATGCTTTACTGTAATTACTTGTGAAGAGTTTAGAGACGTTTCAAAAGTGAAAAGGAGGTATGAAAATGTCTTGAAGGTCTGTCCAGGAATTGTGTGTTTCAGTGCAATTTATGGCATCGTATTGGAACTGTAGCGCAGTTTAACCACTTACAAATGGGAATGTTGAATGTGTTTCAGAATGTTTGAAAGAAGTGTGGACAGCCCAGAAAGGCGACTTGGAAGCGATTGACGAGAAAAAGAAAAAGAAGAAAAAGAAGACGAATGATGGGAAAAAGAAGAAGGAAGGGATCAAAAAGAAAGGGAAGAAAATGAAGGAGGTAAAGAAGCGAGAGGAAGGGGAGGACAGTGACCAGGAGCAGGGGCACAACAGCTCATCTGATGAGGAAAACATTCAACAGGAAACTCCACTGTTTCACAAACCTGATGAGCTGTGAGGAGTTGCGGAGATAGACTTGGGGTTGGAGCAGAAGCATTGCTGGTAACTTGTATCATGAGATTATCTATTTTGTGGGTGGAGGTGTCTTGTACGTGGTTCCCCACAGTGCTTATTCTTTCCATTCCCCCTGTGTTCATACTACAGTATGGATGGTCAAAAAGCACCAACCCACTGTCGTCATCTTAAACCGAAGTGAGCGAGACTGTGCACACTTAACTCCCCAGGAAAGACATGGCGGGGGTGGGAGGGGAGCGCGGAGGGTAGAACATCCCTGGGCCAGCAACTCATTGAGTTAGTAATGGACAATGAATTCTAATACTTTTATAAGTGAATAAAGAGTGGATGTGAAAGTAGGTTTGGTGTTTTTCTGTGGGTGTTGGGTAAAAATATAAACAGGCCTCTTGAGAACATAATTGTGAGGACATTGGGTCTGTACCTGTGAATCCATCTCACCCCTGTTTGTAATTCACCCCTCGCAGCTAATTTTCTTCCTACTCTGATATCTAAACCAAAATGCTTTTAAAAAATATAGACACAGAGATGTGTTGCAGGTAATAGTTGAAGAGGGGGTGGGGGGGCGCTGGTGAGACTGATGATCCAGTCCTCTCAGACCAGGCGTGTTATTTGCGGTCCGTACACACGTGTGTTCGTCGTGTTGCAGATTGGCGCTGGGAGAAAGGCAAATGGCAGCCAGAGGATTACCACCGGATCCTGCAGTGTTTCCTGGACAGGAAGGACAGCTGCTACTCCATTCATCAGATGGGTAAGGGCGGCGCGGGGCACGGGGGGGCCATGCGGATGCTTAGCGATGAGATTCATTTCCATAAGGCAGTGATTGCTCCCGGGCCCCCTCGTGCTCTCTGACCTGATGAGAGGGAATTTGTGGCAAACACCAGAGACAGTTTGTTCAATGTTGGAGCCAGGTGCTCGTGAGTTGTGTGACCTCCACAGGAGGCGCACTTTATGTCACAAGCCAGAGTTTAATGCTGCTGTTTTTCTGACGAGTTCTTTGTCAGGGAATTGAGGAAATAACTGCAAAGTAGGATTAATAAAAATGGCAACATTTATTAAAAAAAGGTGGCAGCGACACAGACTCAATGGGCTAAATGACCTCCTCTGCTGAAAATTGCTAGTTTCTAACCCTCCAGTCTGTAAGTGCCTTTGCTCAGTCTGATCAGCGCATCACTCGATGGATTCAGTCCACAAGACGTGTATTTTTCTGAGATTGTCAGTTTTGGGTGTGAGTCATGAAACCTGCAGTTTATTAAGTATTCTGTTCTCCCGAGTACTTCATGAAATAATTTTTATTCACAACTCAGTGTTAATGTGAACCTAAAGAGAGATCCGGTTCTAAATGTGTTCTTTCTGCTTTTCCTAACAGCTCAGATGGGAGTGGGAGAGGGTAAATCTGTAGGCGAATGGTACGGACCTAACACTGTGGCCCAAGTATTGAAGTAAGTGAACAATTTAAGTTTCAGAGCAACGTCCCATCAAACTGTTATAGAGTTTAAGGGAATCTTTAACATCTGTATGTTTATTTTGGTTAATGCTTTTCAAAATTTGTTTGAATTTAAATGGTTCTCGTAGACTCACAGGATCATAGAGGTCTGGAGATGAAGGTGTGTATTTGGTGTATCACATCCCATCCTTATGGTATATCCACTCCACCATCCCTCCCGTAACAGTATCGAGCCGTTTCTGAAATGTCTGCCAGTGATCTGGCCTCATCCATCCATCCTGGTAACCTTGTTCCAGTTGTTAATTACCATTAAACTTTATATAAGCGCTCTGGGACTCTACCCCACATGAAGGGTGCTATATAGATGCAAGTTATTGTTGTATAAAGAAATACTTTCTGGTGTCTAATTATTATTAAACACATGAATATTAAACCCTTGTATTAAGTTCCTCTTCACCTTGTCTGTGTGACCAAGCCCTCGTGATAAATCTGCCTCATGGCATTCCGTATGTAATTGTAAACACTGCTGACACAGTATCATGGACACATGGCTTCTGGTGTTTATTATGTTGCATAAAGATTATGCTGATCATAAAGTTACCAATGATTTCTGCCTTTAGTCTGTTAGTATGCAAGCTGTTAGATTTTGTTTTACTGTTCTCCTTAGAGGAGGAGGTAAGTGGGATCTCCTCAGCCTCTTGTTTTTACTGTTGTAAGAAGTTTGCTAGACTATAATAATGTGTAATAATCTAGTATTTGATATAGCACTTTATCACGTCTTCGAGACATCTCGAAAACTTTCACAGAATATACTGTAAAGTGTAGTGACTGTATATTTTGTGGGCGAAACGGGAAGCCAGTTGAGCACAGCAGTGTCCCACAAACAGTCATGGATTGAGTGACCAAATTATTATTATTTTCTTGAAGGGATTATTACCCCCGGAAAAATGATCCGCCAATCGACTAACAACCAAGTTCCTACTTACTGCTAGGTAAACAGGCTTGCGGAATAAGGAAACTTGGCCAATGTTTCGCCCTGTCTGGGAATCAAACTTGGGTCCTCTCCCTTGTGACTAAATTACAGACTAATCTCTCACTTTGTTTCTCTGTAGGAAGCTCACCTTATTCGATGAGTGGAACACTCTGGCGGTTTACATCTCTATGGATAATACTGTAGTTGTTGAAGATATCAGTGAGTCTGTGTCTTTATTACTAAAAATACGTAATGGAAAATGAGGGGAATGTGTTGAATCAAAGAAATCGAGGCCTGAAAATCCACCTGACCTTAGTTTTAACACCACTGTCTTAAAGTTTTTGATTCAAAAAAAAATTCAGTCTCTATTCAGAAGCAGTTCTTAAAAAGAAACGTCTTCCAAAATTTCCACAAATTCATATCAGGGTCACATCTTAGTTCAGGAGAGAGTTAGTGTGGATAATGTGAATAATGAACTGGGTATTCTTGCAGGAATTAACTGATAACTATTTATTGCTTTTGTGGATTCTGATCCACAGGTCCCTCCCTGCATTCTGTGTAAAGGCATTAGGGTGGGTCGATGAGTGGCACAGTCTCCTCTAAGTCACAAGGCTTTGAGCTCGTTGTCTCGGCTGACATTCTAGTGCAGTGTTGGTGGAGCTTTGCACTAATAATCCTTACATTTCCTTTTTTTTGATATAATGCCTTATCATGTCTTCAAGACTTCTTAAAGCGCTTCACAGAATATACTGTAAAGTGAATTGACTGTATACTTTGGATACAGTGGAGTCCTGTAGCTCAGTTGTGGAGTCCTGTAGCTCAGTGGTTAGAGCACTCGCTTTGCAAGTGAGAGACCTGAGTTCAATCCCAGGCAGAGGGCGAAACCTTGGGCAAGTTTCCTTACTCCACACAGAGCCTAATAATCCCTCCAAAACCAAAAACAATAATAAATTGGTCATTTTCAATCTACGACTGTTTGTGGGACATTGCTGTGCGCAATTGGCTGCCGCGTTCGCCCACAAATATACAGTCAATTCACTTTACAGTGTGTTCTGTGAAGCGCTTTGGGACGTCCTCCCGACGTGAAAAGCGCTATATCAAAGGCAAGGATTATTATTATTATTATTTTGCGGGCAAAACGCGGCAACCAATTGCGCACAGCAGCGTCCCACAAACAGTCGTGGATTGAGTGATTAGATTTATTTATTTATTTTTGAGGGATTATTACCCCTGGAAAGCGATCCGCCAACTACCGGGTTCCTACTTACTGCTAAGTAAATAGAGGTGAGTGGAGTAAGGAAACTTGCCTCAGGTTTTGTCCCATCCGGGAATCAAACACAGGTCCTCTCGCTTGCGAGGTGAGTGCTTTAACTACTGAGTTACAGGGGTCTATTTGGCTCATCTCATTGTTTCCTCCCTCACCCACCCTCACGCGAGGATAGGATCGTGTTTCAGTATGAGGGCAAACAACCTCACTGACACTCACTCTCCATCCAGGCTTCCACATGAAGAACGGCCACTTGGACGCGCATGAGACATCATGCTTAGAACCAACCACAGTTGTCAGCTTGAAGAGGAGGACGGGAATAAGAGAGAGAGAGACAAGAGGCCATTAAACCCCTCTTTGCTGGGTTGCATTTGAGCCACACTCACCAGTAGTGCATGGTGTAGTTCGGTTCCCCATCACTGTGACTCCAGGTGCACTCCATGAAATCGCTGTTGTAGCAAATGCACTTCACAGCTGCAGAGACAACACAGAGAGCTTACACACTGCCACCTGCCAGCACGCCCGCCTTCCCGCCAGGGCAAGAGAGTACAAGAGAGGTTCAAACCAAGAAGATCCCATTCTTCTTCCATATTTGCGGTATTTCATAAAGGAATTCCTAATAGGATTTCTTTTTCCAAAGAATATTGGAAATTACTAGATTAGCCATGTCAGTTAGGCCGCAAAATACAAAGTCACTACATTTTACAGTACATTCTGTGGGTGCTTTGAGACGTCTTGAAGACGTGATAATAATAATAACAGTAATCCTTGCATTTGATATAGCACTTTTCAACATCTTCTCAACGTCTCAAAGCTCTTCACAGAATATACTGTAAAGTGAATTGACTGTATATTTGTGGGCGAACAGCGGCAGCCAATTGCGCACAGCAATGTCCCACAAACAGTCGTGGATTGAAAATGACCAATTTATTATTGTTCTGTTTTGGAGGGATTATTATTAGGCTCTGTGTGGAGTAAGGAAACTTGCCCAAGGTTTCGCCCTCTGCCTGGAATTGAACCCGGGTGTCTCGCTTGCAAAGCGAGTGCTCTAACCACTGAGCTACAGGACTCCACTAAAGTGAATTGACTGTATATTTGTGTACAATTAAGGCACTGTATCAAATGCAAGGATTATTATTATTAATATAAGACAGACAGACAAATTATTGCCTCAATCCAACTTTATGCTGATGCACTGAAACTAAAATCCTTTGCCCGAAGCTAAAATCTTTTCTTAGAAAAGAACTGGAAATCTGATGACTCGAATTGTTTCATTTCAAAGAAACTGATCTTGTGAGAGAAACTGTGAAGTGTAATGACTGTGAATTTGTAGGCAAATGCGGCAGTCAATTCATGCAGAGCAAAGCCCCTCAAACACCAATGACTGATTCTGATCTGGCCAGGACTCCAGGAGGAACTCTCTTTTTGAATAGTGTCCTGGGATCTTTAATATCCACCTGAACAGACAGATTGGGACTTGGTTTAAGGTCTCATCCAAAGGATGGCATCTTTGATGGCATCTCTGATGGCACGCAGCACTCTCCCACCACGACATTGGCATGTCTGCCTACACTGAACTGAAAGTGCCAACGTTAGGACCAGAACCCACAAGCTTCTAAGTCACAGGGAAGATATAGGCTGCACAAAAATATAACTGAATTGAAGAATTTTCCACAATACTTGATAAGGACTGCAGAGAAACACAGTTTCCAAATTAAACCGCCATTAAACTGCCGTGGCCAAACATAGGATCTTAGGGCACAGAAGGAGACCATTCGGCCTATCGTGCCTGTGTCAGCTCTTTGAAAGAGCTACCGGCCAGACAACAACAACAACAACAACAAGATTCCATTTATAAAGCGCCTTTCACGTCAGGAGGACGTCCAGACCCACTTCCCCGCACTTTCCCCAGAGCCCTGGAAATTTTTCCACAATTACGTTGCAGTTAAATGTTCAATGTGGAAAAATGGAATAAAAAGAACTCGGATACAGATGAATAAAAATATCCTCTGAAATTGCTAAATGTGTCACAAAAAATTCCACTGTGGGTTTTGCGATCAGAGATTTCAATCAGGTGTTTGAGGTTTACTGGGGGTTGGTGAATGATGTCAGAAAATGAATATAGATCTGTTAATCAGTTTCATCTCAAAGAAACGGCCTGAATTCCTACCTGACCTCAGCTTGTGAGACATTTTGCCTTATAATAATAACAATAATAATCCTTGCATTTGATATAGCGCTGTTCACGTCTTCTAGACGTATCAAAGTGCTTCATAGAATAAATTGCCTTAAAGTAGCACGCAAGATCTTTTTGTTTTAAAATATAAGATTTTAATTTGGAAGATGGTTTTCTGATTCTTAAAAAGAATCAGTTTCCAAAATTAAGATTGAATTTAAAAATTTCCAGATTATCTGCACATTATTATTATTATTATTATTATTATCGACATCATCATCATCTTTGATACTGGAACAACAACAATAACAAATGACATTTACACGGCGCCTTTCAAGTCGGGAGACGTCCCAAGACGCTGGACAGTCAGAGATTTGGACTTGAGTTGGGGGTTGGGGTCAGGAAGGGTGGAGGGCAGGAAGAGTGTGGGTAGGAGGGTGACCGAATGTACGGTTGAAGAGGAGGATCTTGAGACGATGGAGCGGGCCATGTGGGGGACATGGAAGGGTGGTTGATGCCAAAATGCTGGATTGATTTGACAAATAGCCTACTGCTGCCTTGAGGAGATGGCAGGATGAGGTATTCAGGAAGGATTAGGTTAATTATTCGAATCGATTCAGCGTTTTTTTTTATCCGTTTTGCAATGTCCTTGGTTTGGGCTACACGGAAAAAGATAAGATCTTAACTCAAGAAAATAATTCTAAATGATCTCTTTTCTGAGTTTCTAATCAGTCATTGTTTTTGTGGGTGGTGGTGGGGTGGGGGGGCGGTGGACTGGGTGGGGAGGGTTGAGCGGTGGAGAACAGAAGATAAGAGCAGTTGAGATTATTGGAATGTGAGGTCGAATGGAGACCTTACGCTGGGACTCACAATGTCAATCATGATTAGACAATCAAATTAGTTAGGAAATAATATCTGGGAGATACAGCTTCTAGTTTGGGACATGACAAGTGCAGGCGACAGCTGGGATAGTGGAAGGTGAATTGGATGGACCCTGGCCTTCATCGTCTAGAAAATTTAGAAAATTCTTATGTTCTTATGTTTTATATCTCTATTCCACCTCCCAATCTCTTGTCTTAACCATTCAATTCCACTCCCGCCCCCCGCCAAGAAAAATAAACAAGTCTGACGGGTTAGGAAGAATTCTAGATACATGAAAGGCACTGTGTAAATTATTTTCTTATTCTCTTGAATTTAGATTTAACTGTTTTTTCCAAGTAGCCCAAACCAAGCGTTAAAAAAAAGTCTAAATGTATTTATTTTCTGATCCGATGGTGTGGCGCACTTCAAATTCGTTTCCTGTCAGGTACTGGGCGAAAAAATACTTTTAGTCTTAACTTTTAGTTGAGAAAGACTCACGTTCAGATGATACATTGGGCTCAGCTGAGTGGAGAAGAAGCAGACAGATGAAGGGAAACAGCTCCCCAGATCCCAGAAAGTAACTGCTAGACATCTTGCGAGTCTAATCCTCAGTCGATTTTATTTCCATTCCATTCACCTAGCTCTCGCTCTCAATGTGGTCTGATGACAATAACGGCTCAAGAGCAAGTGTTTCCTTCCCTGCGTGCGCTCTCTCTCTCTCTATCTACACACACATATATATATACATGTGTATTTCCTCTGTTCTACAACCCAGAGGCAATCGTCATTTCCTCACCAATGATTCTCCCACACCAAAGTGCAGAACTTTTGCTTTGCTGTGATGCACTTTCAGGGATCTGAGAAAGAAAACCGCAGAGAAGTTAGCAAAGGAGATTAAAGTGACCAGTGCAAGCAGGACATCAGCTGTCTTCAGAGTTTAGCAGCAGCTACAGATGACTGGACACCTGAGATTTAATCTGCTTGGTTCCCCATGTTCGGGATCCACTGAGACCACGTTTAGTTCAGACCCTGCAAGAATCAGCTACAACTTTCTAAGTGAAAGGTAAAAATAAATGGAATTATATTTAAATTATTATATGTGCCACAAACAGACAGCGAACCCTGAATTGTGATCCTGTTTGTGACAGAAAAGTTTATTTCCAAAGATCTTATTAGTTTCTGCCTCTGCCCCCACCCTTTGGAACACCATCCCACAGTCCCTCCACCTCGGCCCCCCACCCCCCTTGCCTCCTTCAAGACCATCCTCTTCGACCGCACCTTTGGTCACCTCATACCCCTATCCTGTAACATACGGTCAATTCACTTTACAGCATATGCTTGAAGCGCTTTGAGACTTCTAGATGTGAAAAGCACTACATCTAATGCAAGGAATTATTATTATTATAATATATTATCCTCTCTACCCACCCTCTTGATCCCAACCCCAGCATGGGTCCAAATCCTTGACTGTCCAGCGCCTTGGGATGTCCTCCTGATGTCACAAGCGCTGTGTAATTGTTGTTATTTAATCTCTACCAAGCAGGAGGTTTGCTATGCCCCATATCTATTGACTGAGCAGATTGCACAAGAACTTGCTTTATATTAGAGCCACTCACGGAGCATAAGCATCTCAAAGTACTTTGTAAAGTAAAATTGTTAGAAACTGAGATGTGGGGGAGGTAAACACGACACAATCTGTACCAACGAGGTCCCAGAAATAAGTTCACTCTTCAAATTGTAAGGTTTTCTTTTGTTTCATGGTTAACAATTAGACAAGTCACAACTTCTCACCATGGAGAGATGTTTCAGAGGGGACCATATCGAGACGTGCGTAAAATTTTAAATGGGATTGAAAATCTAAACCCCCAACGGGCTTCAGGATGGACCAAGACGGCAGAACGAGAGAACGAGAGATTTAGAGTTTCAAAGGAGGCAATTTCAGGACCGAGCGGGAGGTTTTCGGTATCCCCGGAAGGCCAAGACATTGGGCTCTTTTAAAAAACCGCCTGATGCTGTGATGGAAGGTTTCGCTGTTCCTGATGGATGAGATCAAATGGGCCAAAGGGCTTCTTCATCCGAACTCACCTTGTGAGGTGAGGTTTGAGTTCAACCTCTCTCTCTCTCTCTCTCCCCCCTCCCCCTCCCCCTCTCCCCCTGCCCCACTTTCTCCCCCGCCCCTCTCCTCTCTCCCCCTGCCCACCTTCTCCCCTTGCCCCTCACCCCCCTCACCCTCTCTCCCCCTGCCCCACCTTCTCCCCTGCTCCCGCCCTCTCCTCTCTCTCTCCCCCTGCCCCACCTTCTCCCCTTGCCCCTCACCCCCCCTGACCCTCTCTCCCCTTGCCCCACCTTCTCCCCCTGCCCCTCACCCCCGACCCTCTCCCCCCTCCCCTCTCCCCCCCCGACTCTCCCCCCTGACCCTCTCCACCCCTCTCCCCCCTCACCCTCTCCCCTCACCCTCTCCCCTCGCCCTCTCCCCTCGCCCTCTCCCCCCTCACCCTCTCCCCTGACCCTCTCTCCCCTCCTGTCAGTCACACTCCCCTCTTTCTCGCTCTGTCCCTTTAAACGCGAAGATGGTAACAGAGCGGAGGGGGCGGGGCCTGTGCCGGTGTCTGTGATTGGCGGAGAAGCGGCAGGAAACGGATACAATAATGTTACCACTTTGATCGACAGACGACCGGAGTCTGAGGCCCAACAGCTGTGATAGGGCCCGAGCCCCCCCCCCCCGAGCCCCCCACAGCCTGAGCCCCCCCACCCCGAGCCCCCCCACAGCCTGAGCCCCCCCCCGAGCCCCCCACAGCCTGAGCCCCCCCACCCACAGCCTGAGCCCCCCCCCCCCGAGCCCCCCACAGCCTGAGCCCCCCTACAGCCTGACCCCCCCACCCCACAGCCTGAGCCCCCCCCCGAGCCCCCCCACAGCCTGAGACCCCCCCGAGCCCCCCCTATAGCCTGACCCCCCACGAGCCCCCCCACAGCCTGAGCCCCCCCCCCGAGCCCCCCCACAGCCTGAGCCCCCCCCCCCGAGCCCCCCCTACAGCCTGACCCCCCCCGAGCCCCCCCACAGCCTGAGCCCCCCCCCCGAGCCCCCCACAGCCTGAGCCCCCCCCCCCGAGCCCCCCTACAGCCTGACCCCCCCACCCCACAGCCTGACCCCCCCCCCACAGGCTGACCCCCCCCACCCTACAGCTTGACCCCCCACAGCCTGACCCCCCACAGCCTGACCCCCCCCACCCTACAGCCTGACCCCCCCCCCCCCACAACAACCCCACAGCCTGACCCCCAGCCATGCTGACCTCTCCAGAGCTGCTCACAGCCCTCCTCCTGCTGTCCAGCGCGGTCTGGGCCGCCGATGACTCCGAGTGGGTGAAACTGCCTGATAAGTGCGAAGGTGGGTGTGTGGTTTTTTTTTGGTGGTGGGGGGGGGGCTGTGTGTCTGTGTATTTCGTTGTTTTTTTTTAAAAAAAGAAAAAAGCGCCCGACTGGACATCATCAGCCACCTGGGGAGGCTGACCTCACCTACAGAGGGAGTGGGGGGTGGGGGGGGGGGGGGCTCTGCCACGGTCTGGAGACGATGATCACAATGTTGTTTGTCCTTTCAGGCAGACCAGTTCGGTCATGTTGCTGTTCATGATGATGGTGATGATGATGATGATAATAATAATCCTCGCATTTGATACAGCGCCTTTTATCGTGTCTCCGAGACGTCTCAAAGCGCTTCCCAGGATACGCTGTAAATTGGCTCAATGTTTTGTGGGCGAAACGCGGCAGCACACAGTGTGGAGAGAACTGGCCCTTAGCTATTAAAGGATTCTTCGGATTGCTTTTAAAATAATCACAGTGGGGGGAGGGAGAGGGGGAGGTGGGGTGGGGTGGGGTAGGGGGGGGGTTCTGAGTTTGTTACCTGTACCAACACTATTGGGTTCTTTCTACTTGTTTTGTGAGCTTTGGGACGCCGTGGGCCTGAGGTCGGGATACTGCCGGGCAGACCAGACCGCCGGCTCCCAGCGACTGTGGTTGTCGGTGTTCAAACCAATTCCTGAATCCTTCTGATTTTTCTCTCAATAAATGGCGGAATCCAATGGTTATAAAGTATTACCCACTGAGTGACTGAACAGAAGAAGTATTCCAAAGGGGTTGGGACCACTCGGCGGGTCAGGCAGCGTCTATGGAGAGAGGAAAGTGAGTCAACGTTTCGGGTCCACGACCCTTCGTCAGAACCCGAAACGTTGACTCACTTTCCTCTCTCCGTAGGTGCTGCCTGATCTGCCGAGTGTTTCCCAGCGACTTCTGTTCTTGTTTCAGATTTCCAGCGTCTTCAGTATTTTGCATTTAGGAGTATTATTCCTGTGGGAGTGCAAAGTTTTACCGGTTCGTCACAGCTCACTCATGTCTCACACGACTGCACACGAGTGCCTCGTGACTTGTGTCCTTCCTCAGTAGGAATTTACGATGAGATGAGTTTTGGCAAAAGGAACTTCATTTTACTTTTAAATTTACTGGGGCGGGGGGGTGGGGGGGGGGAGGAGTTGAGTAAATATTGGGGCATTTGTTTCTATTTGATTGCACGGGATTATGTTGGGATTATGGTGCTGTGTTTTGAGAATTAAAGGGGTTTCTTGCATTGAGGTTAGATCAGGAATATAATGGGATGAACATTCTGCCCAATATCTTTCTGTGTTTGGGCCAAAACGTGAAGCGATCCTGAGATGCTGATCACACCCGGAGAGAGGGTGAGGGAGTGACTGCGAATTGGTGGGAGGGCGAGCGTTCAAACTGCCCAGGCCAGGCAGCAGAGGCAAGAGCTTGTTAAACACTGTAAATAACCTGCTCTGTTTCCTGCTGTCTCGCTATAAGCGGAGGCTGGACGCAGGGGATAGACTGTTCCAGAGTTTCAAGGAGCTCACAAACCCGCAAAAACCTCAGACTGTGTTATTTCTGCTCCGGGTCCATGTCCCACAGCAATGTTCACCTCTTGATTCGTTCCCCCATCAGTGTCCGCCTCTGTGTTTGTTCCCCCAGTGTGCAAATTCCTCTCCGTGGAACTGAAATCGGCCTTCGAGGAGACGGGGAAAACCAATGAGGTGATTGACACCAAATATGGCTTTCTGGAAGGAAAAGGGTCGAAAATAAAATACAGGCACTCGTAAGCATATCATTGCATGTCTGCGGTTTCATTTTATTACAGCGTTACATTATTTAAGTTTTTTTTTCCAGTTATTCCTCTTGCAATTGCCAGTTATGCTCTGGATCCATTTGTGAGTATGGTTTGATATTGCATTCCCTTCCATGGGAGTGGTGTTAGCTTATAACTAGCATTGCCCGAGCCACCAGGGCTTTGGCTTTGTAGAGATGAGAATGTGTTTATACTGTACCGCCAAGTCCCATTGATGAGACAGTGAGCTGGCCACATATCCTGACTGTATTTGTTGACTGTGGACCTTTCTGTGTTGTTCAGCCCCATGTGGTTACTCCTTTTATTAACCCCCCCCCCGACATAAATGAAGTGACTAAGCCACCCTGAGAAGCGAAGCAGGAATGGTCTCTGCTGTGCAAAAGTTCATTCCTTTTTCTCTCTCTTCAAAGAGATATTCGGCTGATTGAAGTGACCGAAAACATTTGCAACCGCCTGCTGCAGTACAACCTTCACAAGGAGAGGAGTGGGAGCAATCGCTTTGCTAAGGTGAGGTGAGGGGTGTTGGTTGAGCTGCTTTTACAGTAAGGGGCAATTCCTTGATGATGAAGGGCATGTGAGGTAAGGAGGGAGGATGTGGTATTTGAAAATGGGGTCAATTCATTCCTGTAACTTCCTGTGAAAGTATCTCCCTCCTCCACCCCTCACCCCCTCCAGCGAACAACAATAATAATGTGTAATAATCTGTATTTGATATAGCACTTTATCACGTCTTCGAGACATCTCGAAAACTTTCACAGAATATACTGTAAAGTGTAGTGACTGTATATTTTGTGGGCGAAACGGGAAGCCAGTTGAGCACAGCAGTGTCCCACAAACAGTCATGGATTGAGTGACCAAATTATTATTATTTTTTTGAAGGGATTATTACTCCTGGAAAAATGATCCGCCAATCGACTAACAACCAGGTTCCTACTTACTGCTAGGTAAACAGGCTTGCGGAATAAGGAAACTTGGCCAATGTTTCGCCCTGTCTGGGAATCAAACTTGGGTCCTCTCCCTCGTGAGGCAAGTGCACTAACCACTACACTACAGGAATCTGTGATGGGCATAGACAATGTTCTGGCGTAGTCACTGACATCGTATCGTTTCTGTTTGCAAACCAGGGGATGAGCGAGACCTTTCAGACCCTCCATGGCCTCGTTCATAAAGGTGTTAAAGTGGTGATGGATATCCCCTACGAGCTGTGGAATGAGACGTCTGCTGAGGTGTCGGACATGAAGAAACAGGTACTTGAAGATCGGTTGTCACAGTCCCGGCCCTAGACTGAACGTAGGATCAGAGAATGTTACAGCACAGGAGGCCCCAATGTAGGGTGTTTTCTTCCATTATTAGTATTGTTTCAGGAACATACAAGGGCAAAAAAGATCATCGCGGTCCATCTCAAGTAAATAAGTGGTGTTACCCCTCTATCTGTCACACCCTTCAATTGATTCCTTCATCAAATAACTTGCTATTTCCCTTTCAAAGTTTGCTGGCAGGATCTGCCTCCCTGGCTTGTCAATTCCACACATTCACCTCTCTCACTCTCTCTCTCTCTCTGTCAAGCAGTTAAATCTGCCTATTCACTGTTGTTCTTCTTGGGCTTGGGTCCTAGTCTCCTTTAGGAACATAGGAATAGGAGTAGGCCATTCAGCCCCTCAAGCCTGCCACAGTTTTGAGTTCAGGAGAGTTGGAACAGAGTCGGGCTGATGCGAGTCAGTAAGGGATAGATATTTGGTTCTTCTAACTTTTTAGGATCAGGTGGCAGATGACTGGTCAATCTCCTTTGAGAGGGAAGGGAGTGGAGGCTATCTCACCCTATTGTGTCCTATCTTTTGCTCCTCAGTGTGATGTGATGCTGGAGGAGTTTGAAGATGTCATTGAAGATTGGTACAAAAACCATCAGGAAGATGATCTCACCCACTTCCTGTGTGAACAGCATGTGCTGAAGTCTCACGAGAAGGGTATGGAACCCAGAGCTAATGGGGCTTGTGTTCATTTAATATGTAAAGTGGAGGAAAAATCAGTTTAACTATCCCAAAGGTTTACTGTCTGGGATCTGCTGGGCCAAATATAGGAATGGGAGGAGGCCGTTCAGCCCATCCAGCCTGCTCCACCAGTGTACATAATTGATCTGTCTGTTCTCTGGTGGACGTTAAAGCATCTCATGAGGCTATCGCAAAAGAGAAGGGAGCTTCTCCCAGTGTCCTGGCCAACAATCCTCCAGATGAATCGAGCATTCACCTTGTTGGTGGGCGTTGGTGCACTTTGCAGCCCAAATGGTTGCCATGGTTGCTTACAATAAGTCACTATGCTTTACTGTAATTACTTGTGAAGAGTTTAGAGACGTTTCAAAAGTGAAAAGGAGGTATGAAAATGTCTTGAAGGTCTGTCCAGGAATTGTGTGTTTCAGTGCAATTTATGGCATCGTATTGGAACTGTAGCGCAGTTTAACCACTTACAAATGGGAATGTTGAATGTGTTTCAGAATGTTTGAAAGAAGTGTGGACAGCCCAGAAAGGCGACTTGGAAGCGATTGACGAGAAAAAGAAAAAGAAGAAAAAGAAGACGAATGATGGGAAAAAGAAGAAGGAAGGGATCAAAAAGAAAGGGAAGAAAATGAAGGAGGTAAAGAAGCGAGAGGAAGGGGAGGACAGTGACCAGGAGCAGGGGCACAACAGCTCATCTGATGAGGAAAACATTCAACAGGAAACTCCACTGTTTCACAAACCTGATGAGCTGTGAGGAGTTGCGGAGATAGACTTGGGGTTGGAGCAGAAGCATTGCTGGTAACTTGTATCATGAGATTATCTATTTTGTGGTGGAGGTGTCTTGTACGTGGTTCCCCACAGTGCTTATTCTTTCCATTCCCCCTGTGTTCATACTACAGTATGGATGGTCAAAAAGCACCAACCCACTGTCGTCATCTTAAACCGAAGTGAGCGAGACTGTGCACACTTAACTCCCCAGGAAAGACATGGCGGGGGTGGGAGGGGAGCGCGGAGGGTAGAACATCCCTGGGCCAGCAACTCATTGAGTTAGTAATGGACAATGAATTCTAATACTTTTATAAGTGAATAAAGAGTGGATGTGAAAGTAGGTTTGGTGTTTTTCTGTGGGTGTTGGGTAAAAATATAAACAGGCCTCTTGAGAACATAATTGTGAGGACATTGGGTCTGTACC